CAACAATTATCAACATAAGTATATAGCAAATAAAATATATGTATAAAATACACATTATAATTAACCATAATGAACTAATAACTTGCAGTAACTAACTTTTAATTTTAAATTTATGCATTATTATTATTATTATTATTATTGGTCCTTCTAGGGTTTAGGTCCTCCATTGAATAGTGGGCAACAAAAATTGACCAACTTAACAATTAAAAATTATTCTCACATGTTATCATATTTTAATTACTCAATAATAATAATAATAATAATAATAATAATATCACGAGGCATGCAGCTGGTCTTCTTTGTCATTTTTTGGCACCACACTTTACCCACAATTGAAGTGATCGCTTCAATAATTATAGTATTTGTAATAATAATAATAATAATAATAATAATAATTAATTGGACGTAATTGTTGATTTTTATTTTTTTTTAACTTATATATAGGAATTTAATATTTTGATTCTGTTAAATAATAATTTTACCTAAAAATTTAAATTTAAAAAATTTATATAATTAATTATTGGGTAAACTGTTTTTTTAAGTATTATAACTGGACTCCTTATCATTTAGTCCCGTAAGTGGAGCCTGTCACAAACTAGTTCTATAAGTGAAAAAATTTCGCTATTTTAGTCCTCCGGCGCCGGAGATGACGTGTCCGCAAGGTGTCGCTGACTTGGCGGATACGTGAATTTTTTTTTAATTTTTTTTAAAACTTATTTTTAATTTTATTTGTATTTTTTTTAAATTTTTTTATTTGGTCCAATTAAAAAAATAAAAATTTAAAAAAATGAAAAAAAAAAAATAAATTCACGTGTCCACCCGGTGTCGCTGACCTTAAAATAGTCAATCAATACACCTTCTTACATGTAAGATAGATTTACACTATATATGAATTTTACACGTGAAGGACGGTGGAACTTGGGAGCGAAACAAATGGGTATCCTTTAAACTTAAATTTCTACATGACATAATCATTTAAAGTGTATTTCTTTTCGGTGTAGAGTAAGTTTAAAATTTTTGATTTTTTATTAAAATAATATTTGATTTATATTTTTTTTAAAAAAAATGTATTTATTTTTTTTAAAAAAAATAGTATATAATTGTGGTTTTTTTTTTTTATGTATATAGATTTTTTAAGATTTTTATTCTTCATTTTATTTTATTTTTATAAAATATCAAATTAAACAATTACTCCATCCGTTCCAAAAGAAGTGTTTTATTGAGAATTGACACGGAAATTAAGGAATAATAGTATTTAATTGAAAGTGGGTATAAAGTAGAATGCAAATGACGAAAATGCCCTTGATTTTTGAAGGATTTTAAATAGTATGTTAGAGTAATAATTAGAGGTAGTATGGAAAAGTATGAATAATTTTGTTATAAAGTAGGGACAATGACTACTAAATAAGGAAACAAGACAATTATTTTGTGAAAAATGGAAAAACAAGACAAATCTTTTGGGACGGAGAGAGTATTTTTTATATTATATTACAAATTAATTTTACATTCAAAATATCGCATCAATACTTATTCATATCATATCAAACCATTATTCAAATTCAAATTTTTACTATTAAAAAATCTAAACTCAAAAAAAATAAAAAATATATATATATCAAAACCGACTTAAGTACGGATCATTGATTATTATATAATCAACCAACTAATTTCATTCATCTAATTATTTATTATTATTATTAATGTGTGTAGTAACTAACATTAGCTGCCCTATTGATAATGCATATATGTCCAATAATTATTTAAGGGGTAATTAAAGCAATTAGTTAAAGGTGTGGGGGGCTTAATTTTATCTCAAATCAATATTCAAATCCTCTAATGATGGCTTAGCAGTTAGCATAGGTCCAAGTTTAGACAAATAGCTTTCATGCCCATTAGCTATCTATTTTTGTGCTTTTTAGTCCTCATAGATATAAATAGTTATTCATTGTAATGACAACTTTACCCTTCATGTATAATTGCCTAATCCACTCTTAGGAGTGAAGCATAAGTATGATGTGTAACATTATAAAAGATAGTGATTACTTTAATCCCTATATATTTTTTTTACAATTTAATTATTATATATTTCAATGAAAATATATATTATATTATTTTATTTTATAAGAATATAGTATTAAAATATTATTTAAATTTTAAATTCAAATAAAAAATAAAAAATAAAAAATAAAAATGCACATGAATAAATCATCGAACTTATTTAAATACATTTCACTCTTTTTTCATTGAAGGTTGCATAGCAAATTTTGAGAAATAAAATTTGATATTCCTATTTTATTTGCCACTTTTAATTTACACAATATTTTAGATGGCATAATTTTTTGTATAATTCTCAATAAAAATATATTATTTTCTATAAAATATTGCATTAAAATACTAATTAAATAAAAAATTAAATCAATATTTCATTTTAAATCGATTTCAAACCAAAAACATACAAACAAAATCTGTCTATGTTTAATTTCATAATTATTAAAATTGAGTACAAAATAATTTATTCGAGCAAAAAATTGATTACAAAATAGAAGTTTTATATACATCTTTTGTTGAAATGAAAACGACTTTACATAATATAGTTTACATAAAAGTATTTATAGATTCATGCTAAAACACAAGCATTGTATGCGTGTTTTTGTTAGTTTTAACTTAAATTGTTAAATTTAAAACATTATATCAGACTTTTTATTTTATATATATAAAAAAAATGAAATAATTCTAAAGTAAAATCAGAATCGAAATATTTTGATAAAACTTTAAGTACGTGATGCAATTTACTATTTTTTTCGTCTTTTCAGGTCCTTGTTCAGGTTTTTTTGTTTTCGGCTTTAGCTTTTTTAAATTTACATGTATTTAACTGTTTCTCTTTGATTTTAAATTTTGTTTATATTAATAAAAATACACTCGATCTTTAATTGATCGGAAAATTCTTTTGCTCGACTATTTCAATTTGTTCGATCGGCATCAATAGGTATGAGTAAATTTAAGTGAGTTGGAGTGCATATATATCAAGATGCAATAAGAGGAAATGCACTTATTAGCCAAGATTTTTTCTATCTTGTTTATGAACAAAAATAAGACCTCTTTTTTACATTTTGTGTAGGTTGGTGTTTATCTTAACAACCCATCTACTTTGAAAAAGTGTGCATGCAAATTAGCCATTTTCGACACACTACAAGATGCAATTTAAGTTTTTGCATTGGACCATAAGTGATATTTTGATTGTGAAAAAGCAACTACACTCGGCAACATGCGAAGAAATATCGTTTTTTTTTTTTTTTTTTGCATCGTCTTTTCCCCATCGTAATTATATGTTTGTTGTAATGGATGACGATCGAGTATTGATTTTCTAGCAAGGTGAATCGAGATGAAGAATATATATTCTCTATGAGATTTTTTTTTTTTTTTTTTTACTTTATATTTCTTGTAAAACACTACATACAACTATTATACAAATACACACAAATTAGACCAAACACACTTTATATAACCATAAATTATTTAGGTGTTTTGAACATTTTGAGCATTTTAAATATTTTTTTATTGAAAAAATATTGTTATAATATTTTTAATATCTACTCTTTTTTCAAGATTTTTTATAAAAATATATTGTTTCGTGCAGGAACAAGATATTCATCTACTCCTATCAATATTCATTGGAAATTGTAAACATATTTTTAATATTAAAAAGATAACATAATTAAGGATAAATAATTTGTTTAGGCAAATAAAAACATAAAAATGAATACTTTCTTTGAACAAAGAAAATATTATTTTATTATTAAAATTATATTTATTTACTATTTAAATATAAACGAAAGTATTTATTAATTTTTTAGTTATGGATTTCATCGCATTTGTATAAATAATGTAATAATAATAATAATAGATTGTTGATGGGAAAGCATTGGGGAGCGAGAATTGCCGGCCGCCAATTATAGTGCATAGGACAGCTGCCGCGCCGGCGCGCCGGCGTCTGCATCACCTAATTTAACAGTTTCCGGCCGGCGCCGGCGGCCGGTGACTTCCGGCCGGCAGGGTCTTCATTGCAGAATTTACTGCATTTCTTCACTTTGCCATATTTATACTCATAAAATTTAATTTCTAAATTCAGAAAATAATAATAATAATAACATTTAATATTAATATATATAGTAATCATAATATTGTTAATCTCCGTCAGTCGTGCTGTCGAGTGCCGTTTGGCTCTTCACTTGTTGTTGTCTGATTCTCATCAATTTTCTCTCTCTTTTCTCACTCTAAATTTGTATATTAAATATATATATATATATATATATGCAGATCTGTCTGTCTTGATCATTTTGTGTTGTGTGTGGGTAAAGTGTCAGAACCATGATTTAATCTGTGCGTAAGATTCACTCAATCCCCTACTACAATTTGCTTACAAGATTTAAAACTCTCTGAAAAAATAAAAAATAAAAAATAAGAGAAAAATGCAATAAAAAAGAATGATATTTGTCGAAAATAAACGTGAAATTCAAAAAATTTAAAGAGAAAAATAAAAATAAATTTGGAAAGAAGTACTATTCAGATCAATCAATCTACACCGTTCATCTGGCCGATCCCACAAAATGAACGGACGGTGTAGATCCATCTCTACAAGAGTAGAGCTGCTCAAGTAAAGAACAGTTGACAACATAGAAGGGGGCCCTACCCTCCCACATACTGTGGATCTTTGTTTGCCTTACAATTCCATTAATCAAATTTAAAAAATTATTATTATTATTATTATTTTAAATAAAATAAAAAATAAAAAGAGGAAAAAAGTCCAAAGGAATAACTGCCAAAGACAAGAAGTGGAACTCTCATCTTCTTATTACACATGACAGACATTGTGGGCTTCCTTAATACCAAGACAAAGGAAGGAATACTTTCCCTTCCTACACTCTCAGCCGTCGGATCATCTCCATCAGCCAATCACAGCCCTCCGATCATACCCCCCCTTCAGTTGGCGTACATGTGCTTCCTCTGTTTTACCCCTTTTTTATCCTTGCTTTGCTGCATGGATTTCTCCATCCACCTATACTCCATTTCTTCATTTTTTTATTTTTTATTTTTTATTTTTAAATAAAAATCCCTTTTCGTGTTTTCATTGCAGTATTTGATCTTTCTTCAACTTTCAACTACCCTATAGCTAATGCTACTTCTACTAAGAGCAGCAGCAGCAGCAGCAACTGAAGCAAAAAAAAAAAAAAAAAATTAAAAAAAAGAAGCCATGATTTAAGACAGATCTTGTTTCCATTCATCAATTCTTACATCCTAAGCTCAAAGTTGGAGTCTTTTGTAATTTTTATTTTTTTTCGATTTTGATGGAGGAAGAACAGCAGGATTTGAATTCGAAGCACACCTGCAAATTCTGCAGCAAGAATTTCCCCTGCGGGAGGTCTCTTGGGGGTCACATGAGGTCTCATCTAATCACTATTTCATCGAAGAAGAAGAAGAAGAACAGCACCAAAAACAGCAACATAGATTCCTCCAAATTCGTCGTTAATGGCGGCGACGAGGATCAATTCGGGTGCTACGGTCTGCGGGCGAATCCGAGGAAGACGATGAAGTACGATGATGCCCTAATTGAGGACAATCTCTGTAAGGAATGCGGGAAAGGATTTCAATCTCTTAAGGCCCTTTTTGGCCATATGAAATGCCACTCTGTTAACAACAATGGAAGAATTGTCGTCGTCGACGACGACGACGATTCTTGGGGAATCTCCGATCAGGTCGCCGTCGTCGACCGCCATTCCGACAACGAAGGCGCGGCGGCGCTGCTGCGCCGGAAAAAAAGATCCTCTGGTCGGATCAGGAAATACACTTCCAACGCAGCTAATTCATCTTCCTTAACTTCTTCGAACGAGGCAGCCGAGCAAGAAGAGGTTGCTTTAAGTCTGATCATCTTGTCTAGAGACAAAGGCGATTTGTCAGGACTCAATTCCGTCGTCGAATCCTCCGACAACACAATTCAGATGTGGCCGGAGACAGAAAATGTCGATTGTGTCATAGGATGTAACGAATCCGAGGTAGTCGGATTCGATCACCTCAAAAATGATAGGATCTTCAAGAACAAGTCGAGGAAAAGGAAGCGCGATCACATATCCAAATTCGCGCAAGTTTCGGACAAGTCGAGCAAATTCGCGTGCTCGATTTGTAAGAAGGGGTTCCCTTCTTACCAAGCGTTGGGCGGACACAAAGCGAGTCACAAGAAGTTCAAGGGAAGTTGCGCGCCGGTTGAGCATTCGCTCGACCAAAGCTCCAATAATAAATTAATCATCGAGCACCCGGCCGTAGCCTCGCTCGGGTGGAATAAAAATAAAGATCACGAGTGCCCGATTTGTTTCAAAGCGTTCCCGTCTGGCCAAGCTCTAGGCGGCCACAAACGGTCACACCTAACCATCGATCCCATAAAAGTTAGTAATCAATCATCAATCGAGCCACAACAAGAAATTCGACACTTTCTTGATCTCAACTTGCCGGCGCCCATCGATGAAGAAATTAGTAGCGAATGCAAGCCGTGGTGGCTCGTCGCCGGTGCCGGCGAGTCGCTCCTCGGCCTTCTTTCTACTTTATGAGTAATAAAAAAAAGAAGCTCTCAAGATTCAAGAACCCCATTGATACATATTATTACTTCATTCTTTTTTTTTTTTTTTTTACTTAGATTAGTTCTTTTTTACGGTTTTAATTTCCACAATGGAGTTGGTATTGAATACTTTGTTACAGTGTTATAACGTTAAAATTTGCAGCAATTACTTGAAATTATTGATCTTTTTTACTTCGACGACGATCTTTTTATTCAAAATCATTACTTTTTTTTTTTTCTTGTAACATAGAAATATGCAGCAGCTACTTAAAATTAATGATGTTCTTACTTCGATCCATAAGATGTTGTTTGTTGTTGTGATGTAATTATTTTGGCTTGGTGTTGAAGGGACAATGAAGCAAGAAAGAATTGGGCACTAAGTCATGGCCAAATAGAGCAATCACTTTTTTTTTTTTTGGTTGGTTTTGTTAGAGAAGGCAACTAAATTAGATGTAATAACACAATCCACTCGATCGACACGTTTCATATTATATTGAAGTTGAAGTCATTCTCAGCCATTCATTAGTTAATTTGGCTATTTGGCCATTGACCTTATTCTTCTTCTACTTCTTCTTCCCCACTTAGCTTCTTGACAGTGTCGACAGCATCGCATGCTATATTACTTTAGGCCACTTGTTGTAATGTCATCTCATTAATTTGGTCACCTCACCATTTTCTTATTGCAACCTTGCTAGTTTTTAAGTGTTTTGTGGAGTGGGTAAGCACTCATCTCCGAGGATAGTTGTAAATTATTTCGGTTAAGTAAACCACGCTTCGAACCTCTAACTCGATTATTTTTTGCGAGACTAGTTTTTTAAGTATTGGCCTATGGTGTGCGCTCTGGGTAAAATTAGACCCCACAAGACAAACTATATAGAAATATTGTATGTTGTTTGTTAACATCCGAGATGTTAAAATAATATTTGATAGGATATTTTTTAAGAAATTATATATATATTTGAAAAATACAGAGTTGAAATAGTAAAAATTAAAATATCTGTATTAAATAAACATATAAATACAAATGGAAGAAAAATATTTTATACTAAACAATATTATGTTTAAAATACCGATGTTTGCACGGTAAATTAATATTTTATAGATATATAGTATAATAAAGTAATAATTAGCCTATTTTACCTTTGAAAAGTAATCTAAAAATAAAAAATAAAAATATTTTGATATTTAATCAAGATTTATTTCTTGAAAAGAGAAAAAAATAAAATAAAATCTTTTAATTTAAACAAATTAAAGTGACAAAGGAAAAAAAGATTATAATAAAAAAACACCCTCTTTGTAGTGATTTCATAAGGGCATGGGGTCAGTTGTGTATTGCCAAAAAATAAATAAATAAATTCAAGATTTATTATCGGCATGACTTATTCCATGGCTATTATAACTTCCATTCGAAAAGGCAATTCGTGCACATATGAGTACTAAAACTTATTTAATTTTCTTAAGATCAATATATACTCCAACAATTGGTAAAATATTCTTAAATTTGGTCAATTTAGACAAATCATACTAGACGAACTATGTGTGACAGATGACTTGGAAGCAGCGTCGAGGGTTTGAACCCATGACTTTAAGATCGATTACGAATCCACCTCCACACCACTAGGTCATCATTACGGACCTATTTTATTATTTTGGCTGATTTGCACCCTAAAATTTTAGATTAATTACTCAATGATAAATTGTTTTTTTTAGTCTATATATCTGATCCTCTTTGTTATTTTAGGACTTGAAATGAACAATGTCTGAAAATAGTCCCGTAAGTAAAAAATTTTCGCTACAATGGTCCTCCGGTGCTGGACTCGCGACGCTGGCAGCCGCTGCTGACGTGGCGCTAATGCGGCTGACATATCATTGCCACATAGATGCCACGTCGTAAAACCATTTTAGTGAAATTTTTTTACTTACAGGACTATTTTAAAACAAAGTCCATTTAAATGTCTAAAAATGCTAAAAGATGTCATATACGAGACCAAAAAAAAAAATATAGTTTACAAATATATATGGCATCTATATGGCGATGACATGTCAGATGCCAACGAAGGGTCAACGTGGCAAGTCCGGCACCGGAGGGTCATTTTAGTGAAAAAAATTTATTTATAGGATTATTTTCAAATATGATCCACTTAAAGGTCTAAAATAATAAAATGAGTCGGAGACTTAAAAAAATAATTTACGCTAACTTTAACTAATGATAAATATATCAATCAATAAAGAATTGAATCGCACATACAAGTTACATATTTATATATAGATATATAATTTTATTTTGACTTTGTATTCACAAAATTGACAAAATAAAGATATATTCTCTCTGTCCACATAAAAAAGTAAACATTTGCTTTTTGTGCACTGTTTAAGAAATACTATTATATTAATTCTAGTGGTATTTAAAAATAGTGTAATGATATTTTTGCTTTACTTTTTTTTAATGTAAATGAAATGATGTAATGTAAAATAAGAGTATTTTTTTAAAAAAACTAAATTGCACAAAATTTACATGTGGTTTTACGAAATTGCGTCAAATCCTCCGTACTTTTAAAATTGCGTCAAACTTTCTTATTATTTCATAAATTCTGCGTTTAACTCCTCGGCGGTCCTATTTGATTATATTTGACCTAAATGCATCCAAAGAATAAATTTTAGAATCTTAATTTCTAAACCTTTAAAATTAAAAAAAAAATATTTTTTTTCTTATATTTAACCTAAAAAAACAGTAATAAAATCTTAAAATCTTATAAAAATAACTATATTTTAGTATATTTATTATTTTTTTGACTAAATACAAGAAAAATAAATATATTTATAATTTTAGGGGTTTAGAAATTGAGATTTTAAAATTTATTTGTAATTTGGACGCATTTAAGTCAAATGCCGTTAAATAATGACCACCGAGGGGGTTAGAGTAGAGTTTATGAAACAACAAGGGAGTTTGACGCAGTTTTAGAAGTATAGGAGATTTGGCGCAATTTCACGAAACCACATTGTAGATTTTGTGCAATTTAGCCTTAAAAAAAGTGAAGTATTTGTTTATTTTGTAATTCGACTTCCCAAAATAAAAATATGTATACTTTTTGTTGGAAAGATAAAGTATTTGTCAATGGATTGAATATAATGATCAATATATATAAAAAAATATTATGATATACTTTTTAAAAAAATAAGGAGAATTACCTATCAAAGACTAGGGTGTGTTTGTTTGTAGGATTTTGACAAAATTTTACTATTCATTCAAAATTTTTTCCCTAAAAATATCAAATCAAACACCTATTTTTTTATTTTTTATATTATACTAAAAATCAATTTTACATTCAAAACATCACATCAACACCTATTTATATCACATCATACAACTATTCAAATTCAAAATTTTTACTATTCAAATTCCAACTCAAAATCCAAACCCCCGTACAAACACACCCTAAAAATAAATAAATGACATAGGCATATACCTTTTATGCATGTAGTATATGTTTATGAATGTGTATGTGAGCAAAAAAAAAATAATAATAAAAAAAATAAAATTGCAATATGTTATGAGAAAGTGTGGTAAGCTACATTATTCATTCATTTCTTTAAATTGACTATTTGAATTGGGACTTATTTATTTTATTTTTAGTGATTTAAGTGGAGTTTTAATATAATTTAATATGTTGAATGATAGTGAATTAAATAGTAAAAGAAATGGGTAGTCTAGAACTATAAGGCTGCCGGCCATGGTTGACTTGTTAAATTCATGCCCTAAATTGGCTATCGGATACGTTATTTGTTTTATTGAACTTAATTTTTAAAGTATTAGGTTCAACCGAAAGTTTACTCAGCAGTTGTGAATTTCACGTTATAAGAAATAAAAAAAAAAACCTTTTTATCATACAAATGGTTGGGCGTCTATCTACGACCAATTTACGGTAGAAGAGAAAGTTTCATCGGAATCAATTATCTACTAAGTTCTAGGTTCCTCGTCGTTTATCAGTAATAATTTTAAAAATTAAAGTATTTTATTAATTAATAAAAATATATTACATGATTTTAACATTGTCTTTGAAAAAAGAAAAAGAAAAATAAATATTTTATAAATATTAGGAGTATTTTAGTATTTAGATAAGATTATTTTACTATTATTGAGAATGAATACTTTTAATGAGATTAACAAAATGGTAAAAACAAGAGACAAAAAAAAAAAAAATTATTTTCTTTGATGAAAAAACAATTCAATTTAATATTTTTAAATATTTGTTTCTTATAAAGCATAGAAAATAAAATTAAATATACAAATAAACAAATTCATTAGATTTAAATTTAATTAAGTTAATAATTATATATATATATATGAAATTTAAGCAACCAAAAATTTCCATCACAAACAAACACACCCTTAACAGAAAAGAAAACTTTCCATCGTAATAAAAAAAAAAAAAAAGAAAACTTTCCATGCCTTGCAATTAAAAAAAATGACGCGTTAGGAAAAAACGCATGAAATATATCGACAAGTTTGAAAATTTCCATGAACTGCAAATTCCTGCCAGTTTCTCCAATCCCTCTTTACCAATTCCCTTGACCAAACCCAAGAATTTTCCTAATTCTTACGCCCATTTATCCATTTATTTATACGTGTTGCAACCGCTTCGCAAAACCGAATCCACCCCTTTTCGCCATTTTTGTTGCTCTCAAGATTTTGTCTCACTTGAATTGATTGGTTAAGTATCTCTCTGCAGTAAAGAACAGTTTCAGGTAAGTTGTTTGCCTAATTTACGTATTCGTTGTTGGGATTGAATTTGCTTATGTGATTTTAGGTCTGTTTGTTGATTGATCGCACCCATTTATTGCTGGCTCTAATTTGTCAAATACGAATGATGTGATTTCTCGATTTATTTCTGGTTATGCAGTTAAGTTTGTTGAACTGATTTTTGGCGTGTTTTTCCATTTCAATCCAATCAATTTCCTTGACTTTTACTTCTCGTGGAAGAAAGTTGTTCGGCGTATTGAAAATGTCGTGTGGACTTTTTGCCTTGTGATTTTTGTATCAGATTAATTGATCTAAATTGTTTGTTAGTGGCTGCTCGAGAAATTTTGCTTTAGTGTGTTCTTATTTGATCCAATTTTGGTATTCTTTTGCTAATTTTAGTTGTTTCTTGTCGTTTGTGATATCTAGAAATTCATTGCTGTTGATATCTAGAATACTCTTTGTGTTTGATTCTTTGTTTGTGGGAATGGATCTTCTCTAAATCAATTTTCTGTAAGTATTGTTAAAAGCAACAAATGAGAAAGAAAGATTTTCAATTTCCAAAGATCATAAACCTCTTCTTGAATATTGATTCTGTTTTTCCCCTTTTTTACTTTTTAGGTTTTTTTTTTTTTCCTTATCCTTCCTTGATTGTTGTTGGTGCTGTTTTTTTAAATAACTCTTTGCAAATTTGTTGCTTATTGTTGTAAGATACTACTAAGAATTCTTGGTAATAGCTTGTCTAATGGTGCCGTGTTGTTTTTTTGAATAATTCTTTGCCAATTTGTTGCATATTGTTGTAAGAATTCTTCGGTAGCAGCTTGTCTTATGATACCGTGTTTTTTTTTTTTTTTTTTTTTGTTGCATTTTCAAGGTCTTGTTGAAACTCAGGAGGCTTGCTTTGATCGATACCGTGCTTGTTGTTCCGACAGAAGACATTTCGATTTGATCATACATCCTTTCTATCCAGACATGTTGGGCCATAAGAAATCTCCCTTACATAGGTTATCAAAGCGCAACTCGGCTGATTCCGGTGAATTGGGCAATAAAGAACACCTTAAAGCATCTGCAAGGACATCATCAGAACCCTCGCTTGTTTCTTCAAATTTGAGCACAAACCCTTTCGATGACGACAATGAGACTAAAGGGATGTCTTCATCCCAAGGCTTTACCATGTCATCGGCGAAAAACAGATACAAGAATGATTTCCGCGACTCTGGAGGCTTTGAGAACCAGTCTGTGCAGGAGCTGGAAAATTATGCCGTCTACAAGGCTGAAGAGACTACAAAGACAGTCGACAGTTGCGTAAAGATTGCTGAGGAAATGAGGGAAGAAGCTACTAAAACTTTGGTCACTTTACATCAGCAAGGCGAGCAGATCACTCGAACTCACATGGTCGCCGCTGACATGGACCAAGATCTTAGCAGGGTATGTCTAATTTAGTTCAAATTTTTTAATGGAATTAATCTTGTGGATGATCTTTGCAAATTAGTGATTCTTATAAACAGGGCGCAGATGATTTGTTTGAAATTGTTCAATGATTTTATTAGGTTGTTACTAATGTTTTGGAGATGGCACTTTCTTTGTTTCTTTGTTCTTCTGTAATGTTATTAATAGTCTTGAATTCTCTGCCGATTGTTTTTTAGGGTGAGAAGCTTTTGGGTAGTCTTGGAGGCATCTTCTCGAGGAAATGGAAACCTGCAAAGACTCGCCCGGTGAAGGGCCCGGCAAGCGTGAGAGGTACTCGAACAATTTAATTTTCTCAATTTCAAGTGTGTCATTATTAACTAATTTGAGGATGATCATAGCCTTCTATAAGTTAAACTAATGGCGCGCCACCATGTTTTTAAATATTTATCAGCGACTTATGGCTTAAAACTTTGAAAATTGTGTAGATGATCCGATATATAGGAAGGGTAACCATTTGGAGCAGAGGGAAAAACTGGGGTTGAGTTCCGCGAACAAGGAAAGATCTAATGCGCGTAAAACAGTCCCCGAACCAACGGATTCATTGCAGAAAGTCGAGGTAAATTTCAAAATTTTATCGTTCCATGTTACAGCGCTGTAAACTTCAGTATTTTTTGTATAACTGATGGCGAACGATACTATGGTAGATGGAAAAGGGTAAACAAGACGACGCGCTTTCAGACTTGAGTAATATTTTGGGGGAGCTGAAGGAGATGGCTATTGACATGGGATCCGAAATCGAGAGGTCAGCCATTTCATCCATTTTCCGAATCGAACACCAACTTGTAAATCAGATTATACTCAACTATGGAGACTAGTTATCTTACCTTGCTATCGTTATTTCCTCAATGCGCAGGCAGAACAAAAATCTGGATCCCCTTCAAGATGATGTCGAGGTGCTTGCAGTACGCGTAAGAGGAGCGAATCAGCGCACTCGCCGCCTGCTCGGGAAGTAGAAGGCTTGTCTGGTACTCGTGTTTTTTGTCCATCGTCTTCTTCTGAAACTTCTCACTGTTTTGAATTCTGGTACACGAAATATATATATACATATACATACATGTTTCTGTGTGTATACGACGCGATGTTTGTCTGAAACTTATCATTCAACAAGACGAGGATAGATGCAAACTTGGAGAGCTTCATTCCCAAGTTCCATCTGTTCTTCTTTTATCTTCCTCGCGGATTCGATTGCAGAACTGCTCGATCCATACACTTCGATCATTTCTAGAGTTAAAATATCGCCTACCTCACACGGAATTTCCTCGAGTAAATTACACTCTCGAACAACCAGACGCTCGAGTCGCGGATAATGCGCCTTATTTGCGATCCATTTCGTAAATCCCAACCATTCGATCACCAGAAGCCGCAGCTCGCAAAATGCCCCTTCACTCGGCTCCCATACATGATCTTCAAAGGTACACCATTGCAGCTTGAGAATTCGAAGGCTCGAACGCGCGCCAATTCTTTCGATATACCCCGAAGGAATTCGACATCCCGCCAAAGTTAACTTCTGCAGAGACGACGGCAGAGTAACGATCGATAACAGAGGAGAAGCCTTTTGTTGCCAATCATGGAAAGAACATTTGTACTTGAGAGTTTCGAGTTTTCGGAGACAAGTTAGATCTAAGTTAGTCGAAATCGCTGTATCCTCACGTTTATACATCCCGAGCTTCTTCAGTTTCGGAATCACTTCAAGAATTGCGGGAAAAGCATCGTCGACAATCACAGTCGAGAGCGTTTCCATCTCTCGAAGAACTATTCTTTCGCCTTTTACTATAACGCATCGCGGATAATCTCCCTTAAACTTGAGGTGCTTCAATCCCGGCATGTCGAATAGGATGTATCGCATCGGATAAACCATCGTCTTCCAATTGATGACCAATGTCTGTAGACTACGCAAGCAACTTAAGGTCTCCGGACACTCGATGTGCCGGCATGAGAAAGCTAAGTACCTCAGATTCACGAGCTTTTCTATCTGCTCGTCGAAATCGGGGAGCTGTATTTCGAATATGTCCAAGATCTTCAGCAGTCGCAATTCGGAAAGATCGAGCCAGCAAAACCTACCGACGATCTTGTAAGGAGTCCTTGGTAGGATCGAAAGAAAGATCGAACGGGCTACTTTGGCTAAGGCCGGAGATTTTGTTATGAACTTGATGTTGTCTGAAGAACTCACTCGCAGACGGCGAATTGGATCATTACCTTCGTTGTATGATTCGCTCGATGAACCAGTCATGACACCGATGAAATTTTCGTCGTAAGATTTTCTGATGCACAAATCCCTCAACAAGTCATGCATTATGTAGCTTTTTGCCTTCCCCTTTAGTTCTTGTTGGAAAACCATCACGAGATTTCTGTCGACAAGCGATTTTAGGTACACTTTCGCGGCGTCCTCCAAGGTTTTACCCGCGATTGGCTTCAGAAATCCTTCGGCTACCCATAGCGTAATGAGTTTGAAAGCGCGAACCTCGCGATCTTCGGGGAATGTTGCCATGTAGAGGAAACATGGCTTCAAATGGCTCGGCAAATGATCGTAGCTCAAAGATAGGATCCTCGAGATATGATCGTTGCTATTTATCACCGCGGCGCTCACATCGTTTGCTATTTGTGTCCACGATTCTTCGACTCGCTCCAACTGTGATAAAATCCCTCCGACTACATGAATTGCAAGAGGAAGTCCTCCACAATTCCTCGCGATTTTGTATCCGATCTCATTCAAATTCGGCACGCAAATTTCTTCTTCGCCAAAAACCTTGCGGCGAAGAAGATCCCAACTTTCGACTTCATTCAAGAATTTCATTTGGTGATGCGAAGTTTTCAAACCTAAATAGTTCGCGACGCTTTGCTCTCTCGTGGTCACCAAAATCCGGCTTCCATTTTCTTCGATAGGAAAGGATGTTCTTATGTCGTCCCAAGCTTCGCAACTCCACATATCGTCTAGCACAATTAGGTATCTTCGACCCCATAACGTTTTGTACAAATGCAAAGATAGTCGATCTTTTTCCTCGACGACAACTTCTTTCCCTACAACACACTTCATAAGACCGATCAAAATTCCTCGCACGTCGTAGGTTTGAGATATTGCGATCCACGCGCGCACGTCAAAGTGGGAAACGATCGAGGGATCATCGTACAAAGTTCGTGCCAGAGTAGTCTTACCAATACCGCCCATACCTAAAATTGAGACGAGGTCGAATTTAGAATGTTGCATTGCAATGAGGCGATGTTTTAATTCGAACAAGTCGTTGTTTATCCCGACAACGATGTTCTTCGGATTAAGATCCTCCCTCGACGACGAAAAAAATGTCCCCTTCGATCGATCAACTCCTTCGATGATCTTCATAATTTCTTCCTTGATAACATCGAACTCCTCGATTATTTTCGACAAATTATCTAGAGAAGAAACTATGATTGTCTTATCCTTCGTCGAAAGATGCTTCGATGTGAGGTGAGATTCGATGATGTCTTCGGCGTCGTGAGCTGCAACTCTTATTCGATTGTCGAATTTTTGGAGACTTTCACGTAATGGTAGTGAAGGATTTTGAGAATGTTCTTGCAAAGATCTTGTCTTCTCCAATAGAGATTCGATTTCGAGTTTCTTAATTCGATCAAGAATGGTGAAATGGTGGTTATGATCTTCAAGGCGAAGGATTTGTTCGAGAAGGTTGATCAGGGAGTTGAGATTGTAGGCCATGAAAGATTGTTTTTAGAATTCACTGAAAGCTTATGTCGATCGAACAAGATTTGATATATTAATTATGCAGAAGAAAGAGGTTTAGGACAATAAAGAAATCTGTAGCTGGACGGCTGTTTATCGTTTTTCCTTCGTCCTTACACGCCTTTGTGATCATCGGATGACATTTGATTATTCCGTCTGAGAAATGTTTTTTATATTTTGAGAATTTGACGTTTTTAGATGGATTGATTTTTGAGCGTATAACATGAAAAATTGTGGCAAAAGTATAAAATATATTATTTTAAATTTTTGAATATTTGATTTTTTTAATTTTTTATTTTCGTAAAATTTATTTTATTTATTTATTTATTTATTACTATCTTTCGAATCTAAGGTTTTATTTACTTTTTATACGTGATTTTTGAATATTAATTATAAATTAAGAAAAAATTGGAAAAATTCTTTAATTAGTATCTTATAATACTAATAGAATAACATTTGTAAAAAAAAATAGAATTATACAAGATATTTTTAATGTTAAGTATAATGACAGAAAAGATAAAGCTTGACACTTAGAGGCGGTCATGGTAACATTAAAACTATCATAATTTTTTTTTTTTTTTTTTTTTCATAAATGTCATTCTATTAGTATTATAAAAAATATTTTTCAATATTTTTTTAATTTGTACTATATTTTGATATAATAATTAATATTCAAATGTCAATTGATTAAAAGTAAATGAGACTATTGGAGCCGAATGGAGGTAAGATTTATTTAAAAAAAAAAAATCCCTAATAAAAGAATTATTAATATAATTTGTTGGTTCTTTTAAATACCTTTTGGGACAGTTTGGGAAGAATATTAATACTTCTTCCGTCCACAAACTAATGTCCTATTTTCCTATTCGGGACGTCCAAGAACTATTGTTCTATTTATTTTTTAAAACATAAATTTTACATTTTTACTTATTACTTTTAATTTCTACTATACAATTAAAGATAAATTTGTTCATTTATAACAAAAAAAAAAATAATCACTTAAAAAACCGTGCAAATATACTTTATGACAGTATAAATTGGACTGGGAATATAATTGTTTATCATCCATATCGAATTGAAGCCCAAATGATTGGAAGAATTGAAAGAATCACAACACTGGTGTTTTCTTGTAAGTTTGAATTTTATTAATTATTTATTAATTGGGGGACCATATTGATATATATAAATATAAATTGGCAATCAATAAATAACAATTGTGACTCCATGCAATGTATTGAATAAAGTTATGCTCAGCCTATATAATATTTTTTAAATATTCTTTTTTTTTTTTTTCATAATTATGCTTAATATTTTAAAAAGAGAAATCTAAAAACTTCTTTTATTTTTATTTTTATTATTTATTATTATTTTTTTTAATCTAAACATCATAGCCTTGATTTTATTTAATTTTTTTTCTTTCATTTTGTTTTTAGAAACAAAGTTGTGTTAATTTAGGATTTGTTTTACATCACTTTTTTTTTTATATGATTATCAATTTATATAATATATACATTTTATTCTCTCACAGAAAATTTTACATTCAATATAAAATATTATTTTTTATATTATCAAAGCAATAACTTCACAAACAAAATACTTTAAACTAAAACATTAAACAAATAAACCCATAATTTATGATATTATTCTTTGATATTTTGAATTATTTAAATATAATATAATATTTTCAATATATATATACATACTAAAATTTACAAAGATAAAAAAAAAAAAAAATTGAAAATACAATTGCATTCTTTTATGGAACTTTTCATTATTCAGTTATTTTTTTCTATTCAGAACCATTGATTATATATTCTTATCTTATACTTAAAATTAATTTTATATTCAAAATATAATAACAGTATATAATTATATCATATCAAACAAATATTTAAATTTAAAATTTTTATTATTAGAAAATACAAATCTAAAAGTCTAAACCCTCGTCACAAACACTCTTTTGTTGGTTGACTACCATATAAAAATATAAGTAGATAAATTATTTCTTTAAATTTAAGTTTTTATGTGAGATAATCTTCAACCTAATTTATACAAAATATTTAAAATTTAATATATATCTTAAAATTATTTAACTCTAATTTATATATAAACAAAACAATAATGAAGATTAAGAGCCACGGTTGAGTAACAATTAGTAATAATGTTGAATGGATGAGATATGATTTTATTACTTTAAATTAAATATGGATGTGGATGTGACACTCGATTAATCATTGGGAGTTTGCATTTCAATGTAAAAACGACAGCACAATTTCATATGCTTACATACATATATACAACTATTCTATATATATATATATATGATCAATTATTGGATTTGACAATTCGATCATTCTTTCTTTTTATTATTGTAAATTATAATGGATTTTATTTTGCATGCATGTCGTACGTGTTCGTAACCATCCACTCATCGCATTACACCCTTTATTTAAATAAATGCAATTATTATTATTATTATTATTATTATTATTATTATTATTATTATTATTGCTAATTTGGAATACCCCATAACTTTTAGGACATTCTTTTTTTTTTTTTTTTTTTTTTTATCATTTATATACAATATTTCCTCTTTTACTCTAAATACAATATATAAAATTATTCGATAAAAACAAAAGAACTACTAAAATTATATCATGTAGAGAATTGCATCAAAATCAAAACTTGCAAAGATGGGATCAAATGAGTATTTATAAAAACATGATGAACAAAAGAATGAGAGAAAAATAATAAAATTAAAATATCAAAATTATACTATATATCCGAAGGAAAAAAAAAAAAAAAAAAAAAAAGAAGCATAACTTAGGACATAAATTATAGTATACAAATAAAATATGAAACTTTTTCTATAATATATATATATATTTATAAAAGATTATAATTAAGGGTCATTTAATTAAATTAAATTAATAGTTGATGTGGTCTTGGCCAAGATGCAGCCATGCATACATATCTTATTTGGTCCCCCAAATTCCAGTACAATCCTAACTTACAAAAATATACATAATCAACTATGCATGCAAGACCAACATAATTAGCTACCTAGTTATCTATCTATATATATATATATATATATATATATAGTGTCGGAATCAGTTTCTGAAATTTCGGGCATAACATTTGATTCACTTCTATTGATTTAACACTATTTCTTTTTTCGATTCTTCTTGAATTACCAGCAAGTGAAAAGAAAAAATATATATAAATATGATAAAATAATAAACTTTAGTATTTGAAGAGAAAAATTAACATAATTATATAAAAATTGATTTATTACATAGATGAAAGATAAAGATTTGGAGGCTGCTGCCCTCAAGCCTCAATATAATGTAGATTCGCCACCGTATATATATCAGTATATATACATATTGTTGGGGTACAAACTCAAGTTTCGAAGAAAATTTCACACCTTATAAATCCTAAATCAACTCCACTGGGATGAGGTTTTTGAAAGTCCAAAAACAAATCTGAGCAGGCTCAGCTCAAAGCGGAGAGAAACTCTTATCTACATGGTTTTTTTATTTTTTATTTTTTTATATCACAAGTTCATCTATTACCTATTGTAGTAGTATGAATGTATAATGAACAAATAATGGTATATATATATATATGGCATTTTCAGACATTAATTGAGGATGACCCATCTGTCAATTTCCAAAGAAAACCAATCATTTGGCACTGCTAGCTGGATCATGACCCACATTTATATATATAATTAATTTATTCCTTTTAAGTTTATTAATTTATATTAGTGCCCACCTCCAATATTTTGCCAAAAAATCATTACTACTTCAATTATTTTGTAAAAAAACTGTCGAAATAGCTAAATTAAGCCGAAGTTTTACTTTAAAGAAAGGTTGGTTCGAATAATTTTGAAAATCCAAGAACAAACATAGTCATAATCTTAAAATGTTGACCCTCATTTTTCAATTTATTTTAGAAGATAAATTTGTAATTTTTGGTACATGACAAGAGGTTACTAGCACTCGAAAAGTGTTCTTTTTTTTTTTTCCTCAAATGTTGAAACACAAAATAATGAGAAAGAGAGTAAAATAAGTTGAGGGAATTATTTGAAAGTTCGAAGAGAATTTTAGATAAGTATTTCTATTGAGAGTAGAAGAATCAAGAAATTGAATTTGAGAGAAAAACAAAATTTGTGTTCTTGAGCATTGATCAATAGAAATCGAGAAAAAAAAATATTTGGATTGATTATCTTCTATCAAATTACAAAATAGATGGATGCCAATTGAAGCTCATAACTACAAAATCGAGAAGTGAGCAACCAAGATACATATTTAAAAGTCGAGTTATTTAATTGATGGGTTTTGCAAGAACACAATTCATAGTGAATGAAGTTCATTACTATAAAAATATGCAAATTTGAACTTCATACAACCTATGAGGTAAAAACATGAATTAAGTACCTTATTTGGACATATACTATGCAAGACAAGCACTTAAATTACAAACAAGAAGAATTAAAGTTTTGTTAATAAAATTATAATGGTAAAATATGCGAGATAAAAATGATAACTACACGATAGAGAAAATTGCGACTTGAGCCTACAAGTAAAATCCTCGTATCCTATAAACATGTTTAAAAACATTTTAGAGCTTTTTATTTTTATTTTTCAAAACCAATAATTGGCGCAAGATCGCATATAATTAACCTAAGTAGTCTTACATTAACAATCTATGATCATGCCAACTCAACATATACGATAAACATATGTGATCATTTTCGATATTGAAATAACTTTTAATAAATGACACAAATGTATAGGTGTCGCTCAAAGATCTAAACTTTTTAATTCTCCTTCAATTAGTTTTGTTGAATTCAGAAAAATAAAGGCAAAATGTGATATAAGCTTCATTATTGATATATATATATATATAATATACGAGACGATTAGGATACTGATTAAGGTTAATCATCACCTGTTTAGCCCTAATCAACACATGAGAAATGAATTGACATCATATGATTGGAATTAAATCAGTATGTATTGTGTGAATTATAATTATCTACAGTTAATTATACTACTATGTTAATATATATTTTGTATCAAGATCAATCGTGACATATGTATGCAGACTATTATCATACGTTTTTAGTTCATACAATGAATTTGTGTTATGTTAAATATACATTTCATTCCGAGATCGATTGTGATATATATATATATATATCGTATGGATTATTAATATGTATTGTTAGTTTGTACGTCATATATGCTGATTAGTACTACTAAGCACTCTAACAGCCAACTCTCTCTCTCTCTCTATATATATATATATAGATATAGATATATATATATATAATCCAATTGCAAACCTTAGCCACTTAAAATCAATATCAACAACATACATACACCTAATTAATTGTTAAATAGATACATTTTTGTGTATGTGTTCTTGCATAGAAGTAGCCTTCATGCTTGGGTCACAAATGCTGTCATTTCACCACAAGTTGCAGATATATATTGGAATATATATATATATTTTTTTAAGAATATATAATAGATGCACAGAGATCAGATTATTACATCAAACAAAAGATGGTTGTTTTTAACACTTCAATTTGGTCTGCACACGACAACGAACCTCAAATAAATCACATCCAATTTAATTTGGTGGGAACAATTCAAGAAATGGACACATTCTTTAAATTTCAATCACTTTTAAATACGTTTATAAATTTCATTTTATCCCTCTTAGAACACACACACACAAATTTTTATTTTTATCTTTTAACGTGAACCCTTCTTGGATTAATATATAGTTTTTTTTTTCAAAAAAAAAAAAAAAAGAGAAATTGAAAAAAAAAAAACAATTTTGAAAAAAAAAGGGAGAATTTTTGGAGTAATAAGGCCAAAGATTCTGTTCTTTTGCATCATTAAAAACTAAGTGATTTTATTCTTTTCGTGTAGTTTAATTCTTTTTTTACTACATAAAATTCTATAAACATATAGTGTTATAATTATTATTTTTATAAACTATTACGTTCAAACAACTATTCAATTCAAATCAAAATCAAAATCAAAATCAAACTTAAAAGAAGACACTATTTACATCAACGGTTAGAAAAACGAGTGTTACTGAAAAATATATATATATAACTCCGGTTAGATAGAGGATTTTGGAGTTGCGGAGCTTTTAAAAAATTTAAAAATAATAAAAAGATTAAATATTTAATGTAGTATTTTATATAAAAAATAAATATCTAAAAAAAATATATATATATATTGTTGATGAATAGAAAGTGTAAACAGAACCACATATTATTGAAGTAGTCATTGTCACTCCACCTCGATCGTATGCCTACGTATAATTCTTTTGTCAAGTTGTAATACTCTATCGCGTACAATAAAGTTCCCACAATTTCCCACGTTTATTCATTTTTACTTTCCCTTGTTGAATTTATATTTTTATGTTGTTTCTTTTCATTCTTGGGTAGAAATTTTATTACCTAAATTTCCCTAACATGTCGAAATAAAAGCAAGCCGAACAATAGAAGTTGAATTTGTCGACTTACAAGTGACAATATTCCGAGCAAAAAGAGTAGGCCCTTTTGCCCACTTTTATCACAAATTGGGATACCTACTTTCTCCAATTTGGGTCTAAAGATTTTTGTCATTGAGAACCAACCAAGAATTTTGATGTATTAGATGCACGAATAAATCATCGATGAAACTTCATAGAAACATATATAAGAAGACCAAACTTGAAATCCCATGAATATATACATACGCGCACACTTATAGAGTGGTCCAAATTGCGAAAGGCATCACCTTTCACTCTAGTCGAATTTCATTAGATGGAGACATGTTTGCTCTCGAGCATACTTTGAATTTTTGGGGAAAAATAAAACAAAACTTAATAATGACATTTTTTGTTATACTTTAAAGGAGAAAACATGTATTTCTCTTTTTATTAAGAATAAAATTCACTGCATATTACAAATACCTTCAAATTTATACTTATCTACTTTAATATTATTACATTGATTTACACATAAAAAAAATAAAATAATATTTATACAAAAATATCATCAATTACTATTAAAATATTATGTTTATTAAACTCTGCGTCCAAAGTAAACCAGTATATTTAGTGTTGATGGAGGATATAATAATTCGAAGTTGAAATTTTGGCATATATCCATCCTGCCGACTCTCGTTTGTGTATATATATATATATGGGGTGTAGATTCATTAAATTTTCTAGCTTGACTTATTGTTTCTATGTCAATGGTCCAATGAATTTTATTATAATCAAGGTTTTTCTTGGTTATGATCTTTTTAATCATTGTCATACTCGATTGACTTCATTATATACTTCTTAGTTTTGAATTTAATTGTCGTCATCACCATCATAGTAAATCTATTGTGTTCGAGATCATCATGTTTGTCACGGAATCTCTCTTGTCCGATTTCGAATGATATTGAAAGTTTAGTATACGTATAGTTCGCGACAAAAATGGCAACAATTATTGTTTTAACTATTTTATTTTTTTGTGACAAATTTTAAGCAACTAAGCTCAATATACTTTAGTTTATTTTATATGTTTTTTCTTTACAAATTTTAAAGTTACTTATAAAAATATACTTTTTTTTTTTTTGTATAAAACATAACATGAAATCATAAAAAATATAAACACAATTACAAATACAAATCAAACACACATAAAATCAAATTAACACAAATATTAGCTTGTTTATATGAAAACTTGTGCTTGAATTGAAACTTTTGTTTGGTTTAGAACATTGATGTTCCAAATACAAGAAAAAGGTTAATTTCTTTTAAAAAAATACAAGTAAACAAATTCAAATTCGAACAAAATTCCAACTTTATCCCAAGCGTACTTGAAGAATTGCGAGATTCTAAACCATAAAAAATAAAAACAAAAAAAACTTGTCAACTAGGAGTGGGTTTTTCATCATAAAAATGTATAAATATACAGGGTCTATTCTCTTTATACTATATATATATATATATATTACTTTTTTTACTATGTAATATGTTTTTCAATAAAAAATTATAACCTTTTTGATTTTGATTTTTTTTTTTTTTTTTACAAAAAAGTTATTACATCAAATATATAGATGACCGTACAGTACAAATTAAGGCAAGACTTATCCTCATTGGTATCCAAAGGTGAAGAAGAGTAGAGAAGAAAAGAGGTTTCTTTGCCACCACATGTCTTGTTCCCAAATCTTTATCATTCTGAAGCTGACCTCTCCAAATATGGGACCCTACCCTACCCCGCTACCCCCTACCCTCATTATATATTCATCCAACAAATTAAACCACCCCCCCATAGATTCATCATCATCATCATATATATATACATACTTCATACACACACAACAGATGAATCCCTCATCCCACACAGTCCAATTCAATTTCTAGAGAGAGAGAGAGAGAGAGAGAGAGAGAGTGAGAGTGAATGAGATCAGAGATATATATATGAAGATGATGAGTAGTAGTCAGTGCATAGTGCCCAGCTGGAATCTCACCCATCAAAGACCACAACAACATGAACAAGAACAAGAAGCTGCTGCTGTTACTAATGGTGGAAATGGCAATGGAGGAGAGAGAAACAGATCGTCTTCTTCCTCTCACCAATTAGCAACTCACGTGCAATCAGACCACAACCTCACTAACTATGTTGTCCCCATGTCTGTATTCTATATCCTACCTAATACTACTTACTGCATCTTGATTCACCTTAATATGTACTATTTTCATATTTATCACAAATATATATACACATATATATATATATATATTATTCTCTATTCTATTCTCTCTCTTTCTATATATATTTTGCTTTTGTTTTCCTCTCTGATTATAATATATGGATAGAATGAAATCTCACTTCGCTTTTTATCATGCCTTTCAACTACTAGCTGTTTCTTGACAAGACTTTATATATATGCATACACACATACATACACATATATATATAAGTGATATGAGTGGTTTCATGTCCTAGCTTTTTTCATTTGTCTGAAACCCTTATCCATGTTAGTAATGATTTCAACATTTTTTTTGTTCTTTAAATATTTATATATATATATATATGTATGTTTATATTTCCATCCTCAGAAGAACAATTTTGATCATCATATATGCTTTCCCTAACCCTAGAAACTTTTTTGATGTTAATTCATCAGGGCTAACTATGAGGTTACTGAGCTTACCTGGGAAAATGGACAATTGGCTTTACATGGCCTTGGAGGAATCCTTCCTCAGATCAAATCTACGGCGGCGGCGCCGGCTGCAACCACCTGGGGTAAACCTGAAGATCACACTCTTGAATCGATTGTTCATCAGGCAACTTTCTCGAGCTTCCACCAGAATAATCTTCAGGCTAAAAATTCAGTGGCCCCCAAATCCCCAAAATGGGGAGACGACGTACAAATGCTGCACATTGAACAGAATCAGGAGGGAAGCTTGAGCTCCATAGCAGCATCCTCCGCCGGAAAATGGAGGGAGAATTCCGGCCAGGGTAATTCCAGGTACCTGGGAACGACGGCGGGGAAGAATCCTGCAGGGGCGGTGAATAAGCGGGGGAGGGCGGCGGAGCCGCCGCCGGAGAGGGGTATGGGAAGAAGTAGAGGTTTTCCGGCGGAGGAGAGGGCGGCGGCGTCGGCGTCGGTGTGTGCCAGCGCCAGCGCGACGGTCGGCCGGGAAACCGACGCGACGATGATGACGTGGAACTCGTTCGAATCTCCGAGGAGTTTGAAGAGCGCCCGAATTGGCGGCGGCGATGATGATTCCGGCTGCCATTTTTCTAATTCGGTAATGATTATCATAGCGTTTATTCTAATTAATTTAATTTCGATTTTCTTGGAATTAGAAAAAAAAAAAAAAAACCCCTGATTGATGATATAATTACGAGCATCCAATGATTGATTTTGGGGAGAGAAGAACAGTGTCGTGTCGGATTTAAGGCTGACACCCAATCCTTCATTTCTTGCCAACAATGGAATATCCAGTTGGATTTTTTTGTACGGCACAGTGACATCTAACATGCCATCATCATATACACAAATACACATATATATTATATATTTTATTTTATTTTTACATTATGTGGATTTAAAAATGAAAAAATTGCAGGAAAACCAGGTGGAAGAAAGAGTGAACAAAAAGGGGGAAAGCTTTAGGAGAAGAAGTCGAGCTGCAGCCATACATAATCAATCAGAAAGGGTATTCAATTCATTAACAAAATTTATTATATATATAAATATAAATTATGCAAATTGGAAGCATTAATAAGCATAAATCGATGTAGAGACGAAGGGACAGAATCAATGAGAAGATGAGGGCTCTCCAGAAGCTGGTCCCAAATGCCAGTAAGGTCAGTTTTAATTCAATCAGATATTATTAAATAACCGTTCACCTAAAAATTTAAACTTATTTGAATGTAATAGTCTCTGCAGACGGACAAGGCGTCGATGCTGGACGAGGTAATCGAATACCTTAAACAGCTGCAAGCACAAGTTCAAATGATGAGTGCTGCAAGAAACATGTCAATGTCTCAAATGGTGATACCTCAGCAGCATCAGCAGCAGCAGCAGCAGCAGCTCCAGCAGATGTCTTTAATGGCCGCGGCGCGAATGGGAATGGGAATCGGGATGGGAATGGGAGTGGCGCCGGGAATGCCGGCAGCCATGGGAATGCTTGATGTCAACACCTTAGCAAGAAATTTCCCAAACTCCATTCCTTCCGCGGCCTCATTCATGTCGCCGCCATTCTCCATGCCTCCCGTTGTTCCAAAACCAAGCGCCCGCGATCATCAAGCTTCGATGTCCAATCTCAACGAGGCCTACCAATCATTTATTGCACAAGTAAGTATGAATCATTAATCTTGTTAAAATAAAAACTAAGAAAACTAAGAAAAAAGAAAAAGACAAAAGGGATTTGTAAATGTTTATTAGTAAGTGTCAAATTCTGCATTGATTGAGCAATTAGATAGACTCTAAAGGGAACACATAAATCTAAGGATTGAAGCACACATGCATCAGCCATTAATGGTGCTTTCATTTTCATGTGTGGTCAAAAAATTTAATTTTGACACATTATTCTCAACAACCTCTCTTCAATATCATATCATATATAAATGTTATATGTATTTGTTTTGTGCATTTCAGCAGTCCATGAACATGGATTTCTTCAACAAGATGGCTGCTCTTTACAGACAACAAGCTACTAATCAGACACCAAAGACACCAGTCACTTTGTCACAGCCAAACAATGCCCAACAAGAATGACGATATATAGTTGTTCTTACAGTGATATATATGTTTGGATCTATCTATATCTATCTGTCTGTCTATTTATATGTTTGCAAGTGTGCATAGGTTCACTATACTACATTTATAAATTCCTCGTCAAAAAAAGAAAGAACGAAAGAAAGAAGATGATACATATCTTGAGCTCATTAGTTTATCAGGAAAAGCTCAAACAGGGTTTTTGTAACTCTAGTAAATTCTTATTGTGTGTAATTTTTATGTCTTGTTAACAATAAAATTTTCATTTCTTAATCCAATGTAAATTTATAAATAACAAATAAGGAAATCAGACTGCTCATGTCAATAAAATACGAACAACAATTTACTTTCCTTCACTACACAGCATTTTCGCACTCGAATGAAAACAAAGCATATTGAAAGGAACTCATATTGTTGATCCTTCTTTGATCCCAAAAAACCCTCCCAAAAGTGATGTATAACCAAATATAGCATGTCATGTCTTGTTACCAAAATAAACTTATTCCATACTAAATGGATCAAGAAGAGACACTTGTGGACACATACTGAGAAAAAAATAATAATAAATAAGACCGACAAAGAGTTCGGTAAACCTCAAACTGATAAATGAAGAAGGTGAAGTATTTTCTTCACATTGAGTGTGAACATATTTTGAGGTGGTCCTAACATTCCAAGCAAACAGTTAAAATTGATGAAGCTTAGACATATACTTCATCCTTTTGAGGGACCCTTAAGGATCAGAATATATAAAAGATATATATTATATATACATACATACATACATATGACAGGACTAAGTCTATATTCCTTGTTGGCTGCCCATTCTCTATCCTATCCATTGAGCAAAATTCATAGTTCATTTAAATGTATGTACACATTATTGATTCCAATTCTTTTCTTCACCAACAGTAGATGATCAAACCCTTTTTACAAAAAGCTTTTAGATCTTGCTTTCAAGTCCAACTAGATAGAACAATGTTGAGGACAATTATTAATTTGGTGGACCAACCATGTTCCCTTCACATTTCCATATCTCTTTATCTCTATATTTGGTTTCACACCCCACCCCCAAAATGACCCCTACCTCAAAAAAGAATGTTCACTACTATTCATCTTGCAGAAAGGAAGTGTTTCAGTTATAAATAAAAAGAGACAGAAAGTTTGATAACAGAATACAGTAAAATAAAATTCACTCAGTAACTTATCATATGCATATGTGTGTGTGGGGTGGGGTGGGGGTGGGGGTTGAAGGATCATGACAGCACAGATGGATTGTGATGCTCCCTAGAGATCAAGAACTGTACACCACTAATGTCAAATCCATTGCCTACACATGGACCAATAAATCTCCTTTAAAAGATTTTATCCAGGCTTCTTTGCGAGGGGAATCAAAGCATGGTCTGTCTAGCCACAAAGTGATTCATGACATAGAGAGTGGTGGACCAAAAACAACCAACAAACTTGGACTACCAAATGACAAAATTAAGAGGCCATAATTTAACCAAAACAATTCAATTCAATGGAAATGCATGGAAGAAGCAGCATAACTAATGTCAATCATCAATGCACTTGTCTTAGTTGTTGTCTGGTGTTAGGTTGTAATCTTGACCCCTACTTCTATCCATGTACAAATCTCTTATCCGGTCGACAAGTCACTTTAATTCGAAGAATATATCTATGTGTACGTGTGCGCGCTAACTTAAAGTCTAGGCTGGACTGATCAGAAGAGCGTGTGGATCCCATTCTATGTCGATCGTATAAAAACACTACTCATAGAGGTCTACTACTAATCATCTAGTGGGATCTATTCTTTTATTACAAGTGAAAGATGTGATGTTTAAGCTCAAAAATAGCACAAGAAAATGAAAGCAAGATTGGAAGTGTGTGCTGTAAGTCAAGATGGGGACCTGTTTACATAATTGTGGTGGTTTCCCTGCAAAGCAGCACAGATCACATCCTTCATTTTCTCAAGCTGGATAATGGTGTAGCACTGTGACAAACAAAATTTATTGCTTCTTCATGTTATGCCTAAAGGGATTGATTAAGGTTCGTTAATGTATGTAGGTGACAAGATGTCATGTAATCAGTAGTTGCAGTTGGACAAGGGCATCCATGAAGATGATGACACTTGAAATTCTAAAGCAGACAAAAATGGGATGCAAGAAATTTATTGTGATTTGAATGAGAGCTTCGTGCCGGTGTGTGATTCGAAAGAAAATTGAAACAAAGAAACAAAACCATATGTATAGCTCATGTTTTCTTAATTCCAGGTGCAGTAATCAAACTATCACCGAATTTTAGAGAAGCATGGCCAATGTGTTCCCTGGATGTTTATGCAGTCTATTCCAACTCTGAGAGATGTGAAGGATTCGATAGAGAAACTAATGAGATAAACTATGAGTGGCTATCAATAAGTTCAATCGAATATACACAAGCAAAAAGAACTTACCTTTGATGTACATTTGTTTTTAGGGAGATTCGGCCTCTGGAGAAAGCCATGTATCGAGTTGTCGCAGAAACAGAGCAATTCCAGACTTGTCTCTCCAAGCCTTAGAACATTATGAAGGCTTGAACAAAACTAATTTGTGTTTGTTCAACCATTTTGATAATCAGCTAAACTCTGTATTTTACAGGGCATAACATTTAAAACACATTTATTAAAAAAAAAAACCAGTAACCACAGAGAACAAAACATAACAGCGTTTGAGGACAATGCAATCCAGGGAAGCTCAATCCCACTCAAATACGAAAAGTTAAAACATCTTTCAGTTAAAAGAAAATAATAACAAACCGATGGTTCGGTGCAGCTTGCGCGAATTTTCTTTTCTACAAGCTGAATCAGCTTGGAGCAAAATAGAAAGAAGATCTATGATTGGCCACTTCTTTCAGCATAGTTATCGGTAGAGTCTTCATTCGCTCTGTAATTTCCTGATGAGGTATCACGAAAATCACTGTTGAACAGGTTTTCGCTCCCTCCAGCACCACCGGCAACACCACTGCTTTGATCATTGCCACCGTAAGCCAAGTTCCCACCTCCGTAATTATTGCTGCTTGGATTACTGTCACCACCATAATCAGTAGTTCCAGCATAAATGCCACTACCATAGCTGCCGCCATAGCCACCTCCACCTCCACCTCCACCGCCACCATAACCACCTCTACCACCATAGCCACCTCCACTGCTACCATAACCACCTCCACCACCAGAGTTTCCTCCATAGCCACCTCCACTGCCACCATAACCACCACCACCACCATAGTTGCCTCCATAGCCTCCACTGCCACCATAACCACCTCCACCTCCACTGCCTCCATACCCACCTCCACCTCCACCTCCATAGCCACGTGTCCTGTCATTTGCATAGTTCACCCTTACCATTCGGCCATGAAGTTCCTAAAAGATGTCAAAAGAAATATCAATCAAAACCTGCAATGAAACAGGAAATAAAGGTGCAGCAGAAGAGCAAGTTCAAGAGAATCAAAACCTGTTGATCCAAAGCCTGGATGGCAGCAGATGCCTCCTCAGGAGACGAGTATGTAACAAAGCCAAATCCTCTAGACCTACCCGTTTCACGATCGACAATCACCCTTGCTGCAAAGTGAACAAATGACATCAGCAACAAAGAGAAAATCATGCAGTAAAAAATGTTGAATCTCCAACATGTGATTTAGGATATATCGTGACTTACAGACGCAACATCGTTCATCTAACAAGGCCTTATTGATGCAACCAACAATTTAGTTCAATTCCAAATTCACTGCCTCATCTTATACATAATTATTCTAAAATGAGAAATATATAGTTCAAAGGAGCTTAATATTTTACCAAATCACTCAACATAAACATCAGTCACTTAAAATGCTTGTTAGATAGAATCTATTTCCTCAATTTACTCCATTCGGCTGTCATATTTCATCTAACATCCCACCTAAAACAGAGACCAAGGCAGTATGCGAGTATTGTATATGTCACACACTCTGCCTGGCACACCATGCACCAAAAACTATAAAATAATTGACAAACTGACAGGCTCTATGGTCTCAGAGATATTACCTTCTGCAACTTCTCCATACTTATCAAAAGCTTCTCTGAGGCTTGTATCATCAGTACTATAGGAAAGCCCTGAAATATAAAAGTGCCGGAGTAATACATATTGCTTTCAATCAACAAAATGATACATGAATACTTAGATAATCTAATGCCCCATAATACCAAAAAATAAAAATGAAGCAAGGAAATAGGTGTCGCACCTCCGACAAAGACCTTTGAGCTTGACATGAATCTTATTGCTTGTAGGATGGAAGATCTCGAAGATGAGATTTCGTGGTTGGTGTGGGCAACCATAGTTCTCCCCAACATACTCCCAGCTTTCCTAAAGAAAGCCATGGCTGTAACCTAGCACAAACAAACTCCTTGAGTAGCGACCACAAATGCTGGGGAATAAGCTTCAATTTAGAAATTTCACTGATGTAAATATGCCAAAATTAAATCTATCTCCCATGTAATATTATCATGATCATACTAGAGAGCCAATAGAGCTACTGCCATATATCAATGCCAAATGTTCCTACAAAGGCTTGATGATGAAAAGTAAATAAATAAATGTAAGAAATGAAAAACAGCCCGCATCTTATTAAGTATATCATATCTTGTTTAAAAATAAGTCACATCAAACGCATTTCAGGGATGATCTCTGTTTAGATTCACACTTGAGCAACCGCAAACATCCAAAGAAAAAATAGATCTACAGCAGACGCAGTTTGTCTATCTAATCCATGTTCCAAAAATTTTAAAGACATAAAAAATGCGAACAAAATACAGAACACAACGATCAAATAAGAAAAGCGCATAGCATAGTACGACTAAGTATACAATCTGATTTTTCACCATTTCCACAGTCCCGAAAAGAAATCCAACCGACATCTAGAATCAATCAGCTCTAAGCTCGAAGATTCACAAAAACCAAAAAAATTAAAATAAATCCGAAACACAAAAACAACCACCAGAATCAAATCCAAAATAAGTTCGGTCATGCACCCAGAAAAGATCGAATCGCGCAGCTGAGCTACAATATCTCAATTAAGATAGGGGAAGAAGTCGAAATGGTACCTGCGAATGCTTTGTTCGTAGCGGAGAGACTGCAGAGAAGCTTAAAACCCTAATGCGGACGCCGAGGGTTTAGCAAGGAGGAGACTTTATGTAGAAATGGAATGAACCAGCACCGTTGATTTTTAAGATTGAATGATTGGCACCGTTGGATGATACAATGCTGTATATATTTATTTACCTACTATATAAAAATAAATAAATAATAGTACTATCCCGTAGGAAAATTCCAAGCGCCTGTTTGCTTGCGTATAAATAATTTAAATATTTAGCAAATTATATAAGTTACAGTTAAAATAGTTTTTTTATTCTTTAATTTTGTTTAAAATACATCCTTTCATACGTATATATCTCTATATTAATATATATTTTATTACATTATTTACTAATTATTTTAATATTTTTAGTAACCTATAAATTTGAAATAATTTATTTTTTATATTTGTTAAATATCTAAATTGATTAAAATTAGGAAAAAAAATAGAACAAATTAAATTATTTTTTTATTTATAGTAATTTTTATGAGATAAATTTTATATTAAAATTGAATAAAATAAAATATAATTTATTAAAATTATAAATCTAGTAAATTAATTAAAATTATTGTGAAATAAAAAATTAAAAATATGATTTTTTTACATTTTATATTATTTTTAATAAAAATTATTCATATTTTCTAAAAAAAAATTATATTATTTTTTTAACTAAAACAAATTTTAATGATATTTTTGAATTTTTATTAATTTTTAATAATTATTAATAATAATTTTAAAAAATCATGCGAACTAAAAGAATAAAATTAAATATTTTACAAATAAAATATATTCTCTTAGCATTTTCAATTGTCTTAATTGATATTATACCTTTTTATATTATTAATTTTTTTTTATGAATTTTAAATTTTATTTCTTATTTTTTTTATAAATAAATAAATAAATAAATAAATATAAAACAAAATAATAAAATTTGTGTATTAAAAAGAAAAAAAAACAATAATTATTATAAAAATAGAACATTAATTTGTAAAGGAATATAATCATTAATACAAGGGAAAAAAATTATTATTGAACTCCAATATAATCAAAATATCAATTTTGGTCTCAATATAAAAATTTAACCAAAATTCATTATTTTTGGTCAATATAATCAAAACTCATCGTTCTTGTCTCAATATAAAATTTTTATCAATTTTAATTTCAATATAACCAAAATTCATCATTTTTTGTCCGAATATAATCAAACTTTATTTTTTTTTTGTCTCATCGTCAACAAACCGACGGTTTTCCAGATATGGACTTGCAATATTATGCAATTTCTTCAAATATAAATATAAATGACGGTTTGTTGACGGTGGGACAAAAAAATAAGATTTGATTATATTGGACAAAAAATGACCGAGTTTTTGTTATATTGGGACTAAGATTGATAAAAATTTTATATTGGGACAAGAATAATGAGTTTTAGTTATATTAAGAACAAAATTAATAAAATTTTTATATTAAAATTAAAATTAATAAATTTTAAATATATTGGGACCAAAAATAATTTTTTTTATTAATGCAAATTGTTAACGTTGGACAAACGCAGCTTAATTAAATTTGTGATTATTGAGAATAATGAATACTAAAAAAAAAATAAAAATGGCGCAAACAGACCTTGATAACAAACACACCTTTATCTATTTACAGTTGACTGAGTGAACTTTCTTGGAAGGATTGTGCTGCTGTGCACAACACTGCCTCTGGAGAATCGCTAAAATCTAACACCAAGGGAATCATCCTCGATTAAGTAATGGAATTCGTTGCCGAAACAGAATCGTCGTAGCCGGAGGAGTCAGAGAAACCGATTTTTGAAGCTTCTTGTTGCTGCCTGGATCGAGGTAACTCCAGCTTTATACTTTTAATTTCTTCCGGCATAATGATCTTTGATTTGCTCTACTTCGGTTCATCTTTTCTTATAATACGACTGTTGTCGAGGTTTCTGCGTAGTATGTGAAACAAATATGCTGTTTGTGAAATCACTTGAGGCTCTTCTACCGAATATGCGTTTAGTCTAAATGGAAATTGAAATTGAAATCCAAATCGAATCGAATGGAATTGGAGTGATTCTGAAGTGCAAACGTGTAAGATTTGGGGAAAATTGTCCAAATGATTTGAATAATTTCCTAATGTTTATTCCGATTCTGGTAGTCTAAATGAATCACTACAAGTTCTTATCTGCAGAGCAAAATCGTTGAAACACACGTCATGTCTACATGGAGAGATAGTATCAAAAAAGCTCAGGAATGGCTAATTGAAGGAGTTGCTTCCAGATTTGGGGAGAAAATTGCTGATGCTTTGGTAAACAAAGGTGGAAGCATATACGAATTTCACGCCAAATTGGAAGATCTGGAAAGAAATTCAAAGAGATTAGAAAATTCAGCATACGACATAAAGACAGTATTGGAGGTGGAAGAGCTAAGAGGAAGGAGAAAAAGGAAAAGAGAAGTAGACGAATGGTTGAAGGATGAAGCCGAAATTCGACAAAGCATTCGTGATTTGCAAAATGTAGTGCAAGAACAAGGACATATGAGCCGTTTTCATTGCGCCGATCGCTTAGGAAAGCTGAACAAAAGAGTTACAGATCACATCAAGCAGAGTAACCATTTCGGCAAGCTTGTTCTTGATGATCATGAAATAAGGGGTGAGAAGCTTTTACCTGGTAGAATGTATGGCGCGGCATTTCAAAGAAACTTGGATCGAATATTCACAGCCATAACCAACAACATCAACATTATTGGTATTTACGGCGCGCCAGGAGGAGGGAAGACGGCGTTGGCAATGCATATCAACAACAAGCTTCTTGAAGAAACTCAAGATCGTGTATATTGGATCGAAGTCTCTGAAAACTCCGACATAAAGAAGTTGCAGGATGACATAGCGCAAGCATTAGGCACAACGCTTTCAGGCGAGAATAACTTGGAAAAAAGGGTGGCCCGACTGCACCATGAGCTAAAACGAAGGAGGAACTTTGTGATGATATTGGACAACTTAAGGGAAGCCGTAGATTTACAAAATGTCGAATGTATGTTTCAGGGAGACGGGTGTCGACTGATTGTAACAACTTCTTCATTGAGAGTGTGTCGGCGCATTGGTTGCCAAGAAATTTTGGAAGTGAAAATGGAGGAGGACGAGGCGTGGGATATTTTTGAAGAGGCGTATGGGCAAGGCGCGGTATTTCCTCTGCAACATGAGGATTTCCTCAGGTTGGAAGTGAATAAGAGGTGTGGTTTTCCTCAAAAGATCGTCGAGTATGTTAGGAAAATGAAGCTTTTGGAGGTGTCCCCCGACAGCGCGGAGTGGCAACATCAGATGGCGGAGCTTGAGGCATTTCTTTGAAGGCGGGGAGGTGATTTTTGTCGAGTCGAATGCAGGTTTGTCTTCAACCTTGCTTGATGTTGTGTTCATAGTGTTTTTCTTTTGACATTGTGTTGTGTCTGAACATTTGAATTTGTAGATTACCACATGGTCATAACTTATGATATGTAGTTATGTCTGTGCTTAATTTGAATCTTTAGTAGTTCGCTAACCAAGTTTAACTTGACTCGTTAGCAGGTCAATTCGACTCGTTTAGAGAAATAAACGAGACGATCTTGAACTCAAAAATTATTGTTCTTATAAATGAGTTGGGTTCGAACTCCCGTTCGCCAATAGGTTGATTAGGCTCATTAGTTATAATTTATTCATATTATTTTATATATTAATATTTTTTTTTTATTCCAATTAATTTGTCCACTTCGTCACTGAATTTTAGATATTATGTAATCGTAAGTAATTAATAAGTGTATTAGTAAAAATAATTATAATATAAAAAAATAATTAGAAATTAAATTGATTAAATAATTTAATTGAAATAAAAAATTATAAATTATGAATTTTAAAATAAGATTAAAATGTATAATTATATTTTCAAAAAATTTATAATAGACAAATTAAATGGAATCGAATCAATAATATATATAATTTCTTACATCAAAAGTTATATTTATTAGTAAAATTTAAATATTTCATTATAATAAATTATAAGTAAAATTAAATATATTTAGTTTATATATTACAAAATATACATAACATTTATAAAATTCAAGTAGAATTTAAACTCGATACGAGCTAAACTTAAATTACTATTTTACTCAAAAGTTTCATAAACAAATTTGAATTTATTTGTACTATTAACAAGTTCGAGTCAACCTCAAATAATCATATTTTGTTAATGCAATCTAAGTGTATACTATTATTTTTTTTTTATTATTATTATAACGTGAAAATCTACCCGAAAGGGCGTAAATCCCAACTGACTTTAATATTTTATAAATTAGGTACGAAGTGAATTATATATGACAAATGGATCAGCTCGTATTCGTCGCCAGTACAAATACCCACACGTACATACATTTGTAAGACTGTATCGTATGTCGGTAGACAACAAAATGCGCGTGAGCGAGAAACCTTTTTCCATAGGACCAATAAAACGACGACGTTTGTACACTACACTAATTAGTCTGTCTAAAACAGACAACCCTGGGAGCTCCTTCCTCCAGCTCCAATGGCTTACAACCTCGAATCCCTAGCTCAAATCCTCCACCAGCTTCTTCTCCCCGACCACCACTCTCGCCGCCCCTGGTTTCTCGACCCCAGCCAAACCTCCGACTTCCAATCCCTCCTCACCAAGTCCTATTTCCTCAGAGACTTCTTCCAACACTCTTCCTCCTCCATAACCCCTCCCCAAGCTCGAACAACCTTGGAGTCTCGAATCAGAGACGCCGCCTGTCACGCCGAAGCCATCATTTCTTCACACTTGGCGGATAAACTCACGATTCCGCGAATCAAAGGCCAGCGAGTCATGATCCCCTTCCCAGATCTGCTCCGAGTCATCAACGACATTCAATTCGAGCGTATCCTCGAAGATATAGTCAAATTAATGGATGAGAGTCATCAGACACAGGTAAGAAGAAGGATCGATTCGACGACAGAGTCGTCGCAGATTGTCTCAACCTCACAATTCTCAGATCTAAATCCCGACCAGATTGTTCTCGGCTTGGCCGACGATTTGATTCAGCTCAAACATCGCCTGCTCGGCCAGGATCCTGATTCGAAGCTCGAAATTCTCCCCATTGTCGGCATGGGAGGGATTGGTAAGACCACTCTTGCTCGAACACTGTACGATGATCCTGTTCTTACTCCACATTTCGACATTCGAGGTTGGGTCACAATTTCTCAAACCTTCAATGTTAGAGAGATTCTTCTCAGCCTTATAAAGCAAGTTTCTCCTGAAAAATTAACCGATGAAATCATTAAAAAGGATGACAGTGAATTGATCGTTCGATTGTATCAGAATCTATGGGGAAGACGATTCCTAATTGTTTTGGACGATGTTTGGAGCCCTAAGGTTTGGGACGAAATCAAAACAATATTTCCCGACGAGGCAACGGGGAGTCGAATCGTCGTCACGACACGGGAGCGTAGCGTGGCGAATTTTGTTGCCGGAAACGACGAGCAACACCACATGAAGTTCCTAAACGAGTCCGAAAGTTGGAACCTTTTTTGCCGGAAAGTGTTTGTGGAAAAACCATTGATCAACATTGGTCGAAAAATTGCCAAAGGATGTCGAGGACTTCCTCTCGCAATCCACGTCGTTGGTGGCGTGCTCGCGCGCGCCGATCGAACGATAGAGTCGTGGAGACGAGTCGCCGACGACGTCTGCTCGACTATGGCTAATAGCGACGCCCAATTCTCGAACATTTTATCCCTCAGCTACAATCACTTGCCCGATTATCTACGGCCGTGTTTTCTTTACATGAGCACTTTTCCGGAAGATCATGAGATTCAATCCTCGAAGCTAGTCAATTTGTGGGTCGCCGAGGGGTTTCTGAAGCCAATTTCCGGGAAAAGTTTGGAGGACGCGGCCGAGGTGTATTTAAAGGAGCTCGTCGAACGGAATTTGTTGTTAGTTTGTAAGATCGAGGCGAAGAGGAATGTGAAAACATACATAATGCACGATTTACTAAGGGATTTGTGTCTTCGAAAAGCCGAGGAAGAGAAGTTTGTGTTCGTCGTGGGAAAGTCGATCCGAGGATTTATTCCGAGTGACGCTGCGCAGCTGCGCCGTCTGAGCGTTCGCGGCTGTAATCGCGAGGCATGTTTTCATGAATCCGTGGACTTAGCGAGTGTTACGCATACATTTCTGTTGAATTCGCTGAATTGTTCCTATTTCGTCGATCCTGATCAGCCGCATCTTTATGTGTTTCGAATGCGATTGCTAAAAGTGCTCGACATATTGGCACTAAAGCTCGTCGACCTGCCGGAATCAGTCGAGCAGCTCGTCAATTTGAGGTACATCGCGGCGAGATTTCAGTTAGATTCGAAACTACCTTCTTCGATATCCGCCCTGTGTAATTTACAGACGCTAATCTTTAGTCAAGAGCAATACTTTGGCGCGACTGTCGAAGAAATACTTTTTGAGATGCCGGAGTTTTTAAGACACGTTCGATATAAGGGGATATATCCGCTTTATCATGTTCGCGACGGGGAGTGGGAGAAGTTAGCCGTTCAAGAAAATCTACAAACGCTGTCGTACGTCGCCGTAGACAATCAATTTCCGAAGATTCTTGAAGCGACGCCGAACCTGAAGACTTTGGGCATTTTCGAGCACGAGGAGATGTCGCTTTCCGTGTGTATCGATTTGTCGCGGATGGATAAGCTCGAAGTGCTCAAATGCAGAAGCTTATCGACGTATCCGAAAGACGAGTACTCGACTCTGTTATGTTTCTTAATTCTCGCGCCGTGGCTCAAAAAGTTGTCGTTGAGGAACCTCCGGATTCCTCCCAAGTGGATGGGAAAAGTCGGGGCGTTGCACAATTTACAGATTCTGAAACTGCGGGGATGCATCTTTCGACATTTGGCTTGGGAGCCGTCAGAAGGGGAATTCGTCGAGCTGCGGCTTTTGGTGTTAGAAAATCTCGATTTGATGAAATGGGAGGCCGATGCGACGCATTATCCGCGACTCGAGCATTTGGTTATTCGAGATTGCGGAAAGCTTGAAATCCCGTGCGATTTGGGAAATATCATGACGCTCGAAACGATTGAACTGCATAGACCAACCTTAGGATTGAGGGAGTCAGCGAGGAAAATACAAGACGAGCAAGCGGAACTGGGGAACGACTCTCTCCAAGTTCGCTACCTTTAATAGCCTGCAAACTAAATCCGACAAGTTTCAATTTAGAGAAACCATTAGTAATGAAAATGGTAGATTGAATACATTAAAAAGTCACCAATCACATTGTGCCACGTCATAAATACTAATAATTAAAAAAGCTAAATTACACCAAATCTACCTAATTTTATGAAATTGCGTCAAATTTTTTATATTTTTAAAATTGTTTTAAATTCTTTTGTTGTTATATAAATTCTACGTCTAATTCTATCGATGGTTTTTATTTAACAGTACTTGACATAAATGCGTTCAAACTGCAAATAATAAAATGTAGAATTTCAATTTTTAAATCCCTAAAATTATAAATATATTTATTTTATTTATATTTAATCTAAAAAAATAAAATAAAATAAACTCTTAAAATAACTATTTTAAAAATATATTTACTATTATTTGAAGTTAAAAATTGAGATTAAATTTGAACAGGTCGATGCGTAGGTTAAACGCAGAGTTTATAGTTTGACGTATTTAAGTCAAAAAAGCACCGTTAAATATGAAACATTTAACACCGTTAAATATGAGGATTTTTCACATGTGAATTCGGTGAGATTTAAAAAAAAAAAAAAAAATCAATCCGCGAGAAAGAACATAGTCCACTCAAATCGATAAGCCAGGAGCATAAGGGAGTCGTCTTTATTGGATCGTCGGAATTCGCCACCACCGATAGCCATGGCAGTCGCAGCCGGAGCCTCTTCGCTGCTTCTAATTCGATCAATGGCTGACAAACCGACTCCAACCAAAACCGTCTCTTCCAAAAAGGTACTATTCAATTCGATTCGATTCAATTCAATTTCTCAAAGCCCTAATTAATTCGTTACTCTCTCTTTCTCAAATCAATTTTTCTGCAATTCAGAGCTCGACGGTCTTCCCTCTCGGCGAGCTCTCTCGCGTGGGCTACACGGCGTCCGGGCCGCCGGTGAAGCTGCTAACGCGGGTGGAGCAGCTGCGCCTCCTCAGCAAGGCGGAGAAGGCCGGCCTGCTGTCGGCGGCGGAGAAGGCCGGGCTGTCGCTGTCGAGTATAGAGAAGCTCGGCCTCCTCTCCAAGGCGGAGGAGTTTGGGGTTCTGTCGGCGGCGACCGACACCGGAACGCCGTCGAGTCTTCTAGGGCTCAGCCTGTTCCTCCTGGTCCTGGGACCTGCTTGCGTCTTCTTGGTCCCGGAAGACTACCCCTGGGAAATAGGCCTCCAGGTTGCCGTCGCCGCCGTTTCTATTGTCGGCGGCTCCGCCGCTTTCGCTGTGTCTAATCTTATTTCCACTCTTCAGGGATCGAAATAAAACTTCATTACCAATTCTATAATATATATATATATATATAGACTGCAGAATGGATGTAAATTCTTGAAATGTGGGTGTTGTGTTCTTGAGATTGCAAGATTGCATTTGCAGTTTTCTTCGATTGTTATTTATTTATTTTTTTTCAATTATTTGCTGACATTATTGGAATTATGTTGGATACATTGTTGGGTTTTAAATGACCCTATGTTGATTGTCGTGTCTTTTAACTTTGTGTTGGAGTGAGGATTATTGAGATCTGTCATGGCTTCTTACAGTCTTGAATCTTTGGGTTCTTGATCTAGAAAATATTGGATAGAATCCCTTTTCCATAGTGCTTGTTTCTTGAACCTTTTGGAAAATGATTGTGGTGTCGCCTCTTGATTCATAGAAAATGATTAGAGGATTCGTAGTTAGACAAGAGATGATAGGATCATGGATGGAACTCAGATGAGGATTAGTATTTAGTATTTTGTTGTTTCACTCGGCAATGTAAGATTAATTCAAACGTCGTGAATAGGGATCCAAACAATTTGCGCGATCTATAGCTTAAAATATTCTAGAATCTCTACTACAGATGGTATGAAACTTGAAGTTTATGATTAGGATTAGAATTTTGTCGGTATAGGTCGAATATAGGTATAGAATGATAAAAATGAACAACAATTCAGTCAATGCAATGACATGATACACAAGAGAACATTAAGAATAAGCTAAGGATGTCAGATTATGAGACTCCAATTGCTCATCAAGTCTTACGAAAATATAAATAAACGACAGTGCATTCCTAATAAATTAAATTTTTAGTAATGCATTCATTTACATCATCTAACATAATTGAAGCAAAAAAAATTCGTTTATATCCCGCTGCATGTATAGGGTGTGTTGTTAATTATAGTAACTTATTAATTTTATTTAAAATCGAGCTTCCAACTACACAATGATTCAGCTGAATGAAGACAATAATGTGTGAGGCCCATAACACTTACTATGATGAATCAACTGATGTTATATATAATCAAACCTCTATTTTTCATTCATTTTGGTTGGTGAAATTGCACTAGTTTACATATGTTCTTTATAACTATAAATGGGGGGAAGAAAAAAAAAAACCCTAAATTGGAATTTATCTTAATATATACTCATCACTCCTCACTTATCCATTCCTAAGTGAAAAATGAACATTTGATTTCAATCAATATAAATACATCACCAATTAAAACAAGTCCACTTTTAAGTTTCAATTTATTTAATTATTACATTTCTTTGATGAGAGGTTGCTCACATATTGAAAATTTTGATTTATTATGAGATCGAATTTATGATAGATATGATTGTGCATGAATCTATTCATATCATGGTTTTGATCGAACTAAATTAACAAATTGTGTAAGTTCCATATATATATATACTTTTATTTTCTTGTAGTTTGTTCGTTACTATAAATTGATTTTTTTATTCTTACCAAGAACAACCAACATTATTTTGATCAATATATATATATATATATCAAGAAGAAAGACAAACTGGGGTGCAATGATCTTATATTACAAGTTGTGTAAAAGATCTTCCACAACATATATAGAATACATCAAAACACACAGAGAGGGAGTGTTGAGAAATGTGTTAAGAGGTCCAATAGAAGTGCAAGAAGCAGTGCAGGCTCATCGACATGAACTATCAGTTAAAGGCAAACAATAAATAATTACAGTGGCAATATATGGGTGCAGAAACAGCAGATTTGTCTGCTACTTCCATCCTCCATTATATATATGCATTTATTGTCTCTGTCTATCAAAATTTCTGTATTCGATCTATTGGGACCTCTCAGGACTTGAGTTTATCCCCAACATTCATAGTTCATACACCTACACAAATGTCCTAGTTATATATCTTTCAATTTATATATCTTACCAAAGAATGTGATAATTAAGGTATGTCAATTGAAGTGATGCCTTGTATTGGAATGTAAGAATATTTTCTTTTCCTCATATAGATAGTTGCCTCAGCAAAGAAGCAATTTTGTGTACGTGGAATGGCAGCAATTACCTATTTAGTTTATAATTTAGCACAATGTCGACAACATGATATAACAAAAGACAATATATGATTTATAATAATACGATACAAATTTGATACATAAACTAACAGTACACGATAACTGTCCACATAAATACATATTATTATTGATCCAAGTAGACAAATATATGTCAATACATCAAATCCTATATAAGTAATGAAAGAAACCCTAAAAATAATACAGTAATACATATGGCTGACTAATTTGAATTAATTAAATAGAAGGCTATGTTATGCATTTATATATTATTCCTTCACACAAATTTAATAAATTGGCTTGAAATTATAATGTTGCCTATTTGTCTTTTTACACTTTTTCATTAATGTCTTCTGCATCCAGCTACAAAAAAACTTGTCATGTTCTGATCAGCTCATTAGGGTTTCTAATAGATATTATCATCCTCCAATTTAATTTGTTGCACAAATGACTCAATAATGTACATAAACCACATATCCTAATTATATATATATATACATATATTTATAAAATGAAAATTTTATTTAATGAAAAGAGGGAACCAAAACTGTGTAGGGTACAGAAGTTTGATGCAAATCTCACTGAAAATTGCTTTGTGGTCCTCTGAATGCTAAGCAGGAGCTTTAAAGAAGGCCCTTAATTGGTCCCTCATCTACTCTTCCTAGATACCTAATTGATAATAAACTCATTATTCATCCACGTCTGGAACTTCCCAAAAATCATACACCACATAAACTCATAGTTTGAATTATAGACCATATATGATGCCGATTGCAGGAGCTGAGATAGTCGGAAAAAAAAAAAAAAAAAAAAGAAGAAAAACTGTCGAACAAGATCGAACATAAATTTTTAATAAAAATGGGAAGTGAATACAAAGAAAAACAACTAAATATTTGTATGTTCATAAACCTTAAACTTAAAATAATACCGAAATATAGAATAACATCATTTTAAGGCCTTAAACGACTTCAAATGGTAGAAAAACATTAAATTGCTTTGGATGAACTATGCGAATTTTGTTCAATTTTGAATAAGGACACGAAAAGAAAAAACATTAAGGCAAGACTATATATATATTTAAGTTATCAAAAAATAATCCTGAATATTTTGTTCTTTTATGTCTAAAAAGTGTAGATTCATCAATTAGTATTGCACTTGTTGCCTCTATTTAAGGTTTTCTTTTGCCATGCTCATATTGGTTAACTTGCATTCGAACACTTTAAAACATTAATAGGAAGTACTCATATGCAGCTAATATGAAAAATAAGTTGCTCCACATTAAAAAGATATGATATTCGTTGAAATCTTAAAGGCTGGGAGGCTTGGCTTTGTCGATAATTACGGCTATGTGTCTATAGTTAGAAACTAACTACTAACCATTTACCCACATTTTTATAGTTTGGATGGTCCCATGGATTAAAAAGTCAATCCTAAGTACTGCTTTGTTAACAAACTATAAATCGACATTAAGTACATTCTTGAGTCATCAACCTCGCCCAAATTGCAATTCCCTAAGATATATATATATATATATATATGATACTATATCCTTGGTGAAATCAAATTTATGTGTTGTTTGGATTAGTTCCCACTTGGTTGCAGATGCCCCCATATCTTTTCTTCTTTACTCTTGCCTTTTTTCTGAAGTGGGTTTTGTAATATTCCATCACTTGCACTTGACAAAACTCAACTCCAATTATAAGCTCAAGATATTGAAAAGGCAAGAAGATGAAGTTTCTTCTTTCCCATCACTTCATTTGATGCAAGAATGAGCTTAGGGCAGTGATTCAAACCCATATCCATTTCTGTCGGCTAGTCAAGGAAATCGAAGATCGATTAGGGGGCAAGATCGATGAAACAGTGATGTGGAATTGTGAGTATGTTTTTCAATCTTTTCACACTCTAATATTTTCCCACCTCTTCCAGATTTGTTGAGCTCTACTATTTTCTGAAATTTTTGATTCAATTGTTTTGAAAAGCTACAAGATTTGTTTAATCTCTGTGTGTGTGTGTAGAAGTTCTGAAAATAGTGTAATAACATAGAAACATTACCAGTTGCATTTCCCAAAACCTAATCTTTTCTTTGATCAAATGAGCAAATTTTCTCTTAAAGAAATGGAGTCATCAAAATTGGAATTAACTTCTTGGATCTACAGTATAGAGAGATCTATGCCCTTATTTTCTAATTAGACTTAGTTTTGTGTACTTTAAAAAAGGTTTATTGCAGATTTGGTTTGTTTTTTTTTTGTTCTTATCTTTCAATGGGATGTCTGTATTTTGTTGATCCATTCATCTTTACATCTCCTAATATTGCAGGCCACAAAAGAATACAATATAACCTTGACCATGAATCCAACAGAAACCGATTTCGAAGCAAAGAAAGAAGATGATCCAAACTACATCACTAACTTCTTAGTGCCCAAGATCCCATCCTCTTCAAGAAGATGGTCAGTCCACAAAAATCCAAGAATTGTCAGGGTGTCGCGCTCTTTTGGAGGGAAAGACCGGCACAGCAAAGTATGCACGGTGAGGGGATTGAGAGACCGGCGAATCCGATTATCAGTACCTACTGCAATTCAGCTCTATGATCTTCAAGACAAGCTTGGAGTCAATCAGCCAAGCAAAGTTGTGGATTGGTTGCTGGATGCTACAAAGAATGATATCGATAAGCTCCCCCCTCTTCCTATGCTACCTGTATTCCCTCATTTAACACACCAACCATTAGTCCCTACCCCTCAATTACCATCCAACACACAACCCCATTTCCTAACTTCAAACCACCCCTTATTTTGCTCGAAAGACTTCGGATTAAGTCCACCAAAAGATGGGATCAAAATGAATGAAAATGTAGAAGGGAAAGACAAGTGGATTGCACCTCATAATCAAGAAAGTTTTGGAGGATTTATGGCTCAAATCTCAGCACAAAACCTTTTCCCATTACCCAATCAATCTTCTTTCCCAAACATCCCTTACAACAATCCTTACTTCCATTTAGATCATCCAAACATGTCCATTTCCCAATTTGGTACTTTCCCAAATCAAAGTGATCATGATCATCACTCCCACAATCTTTTGGCGCCGTCCTCGTTTCTTCCTTCTTTTAATCCACCGCCTTTCTTCTGCCCTCCGGCGACTACCAATATGCCGCCGCCATCCCTTATCCCTTCATTCCCTTCTGCAATCAACAATGACCTCAGACAAATCAATCCCTTGCAACCTATCCAACAAAATCCACTTCTTCCCACAACCCTCAACCTGATTAGCTCTCCTGTGAAATTTTTCCCCCCAAATCTAAACCCTCGAAGTTTCCATCCACAGGAAGATGATGCTGGAAGATCATCAAAAAAGGACAGCTGCAAAAAGCATTTAAGCCATCAGTAAGTTTTTTATGCATTCTTTTAGGGCTTATATAAATGTCTTGGATCGAAGATCTTTACACAAGAGACGATTCTTGAAGCTTTTACAGATGACATTGGCATATATATACATAAATCAATGCCACCATTTAGTAAGAAACTCTCGTCTTTATATATATATATATATAGATATATATAAGCAATTAGTTTTACTATTAGTTTTTTACTTTTTCTATTACAATAAACATATGAATTTGTAAGTGTGTGTATATATAAATTCACGTACACTGGATATGTGTGATGAAATTCAATCCTAGCATAGCTGTAAGACCTACATAAAGTTACAGCAGATTGCTTGCAGATCTGAAGTCAATAATTGATTGGATCATGAATGAGTGATTGTGAAACATGAGATAAAAGCTACATATGTCAGTTGCTGTATATGGATAATTTGTGGAAGGAATTTTAAATGAGCATTATATCTTTGTTTCCTATCTTTACCTTGTTATAACTTCTTGTTATTTCTATTACATCAATTATTAGAAGTAGTAAACTAGATTGCAGTAAGTAATTATATGTTCTTTTTGTCTAGATATATTATATTAGGTATGATATTTACTTATATAAATTTAGTCTTAAAGTTAATAATGTAATTAGTTCGATATCGTTGTTTTAGTCATCTAGCATGGAAAATTTTGAGTCTCATTACCGGAGTTGATATTATTAGTCGAGGTAGAATTGTATTTTTATTTTTTTTTTTTCGATGTTGGTGTAGCAAGCTATGTTGGCTTCAGTGATGTCACATTGATGTAGAATGATTAAAACATCAACATCGAGTTAGTTACAAAACTAATTTTTAGCATACACTAAAAAGGAAATGGAAAAATAATAAGAATATACCTTGGGTGTGTTTGTTTGGGGGTTTGGATTTGAATAGTAAAAATTTTGAATTTGACTAGTTGTATGATGTGATATAAATAGGTGTTGATGTGATGTTTTGAATGTAAAATTGATTTTCGTATAATATAAAAAATAAAAAATATGTGTTTGATTTGATATTTTTGGGAGGAAAAAAATGAGATGAATAGTGGAAATCTTCACAAACAAACACACCCCTTATATATGATACTCCCTCCGTCCGAAACTAAAATTCATTTGTTTTTTGCACGTAATATTAGAAATATTAGTATTATATTAAAATATAGTATGAATAAAGTAGAAATGACTAAAATAACCTTAGTATGTGTGATATAAAGTTAATGACATTTGTGTAATATATTGTAAATTGTAAGGGTATTGTAATATTAGGTAGATAGTACAGTTACTAAAAAAAAATGAAATGGATATTTTGTTATGAGACGGACTAAAATGGAAAAATGGATACTTTGTTATGGGACGGAGGGAGTATTAAACTTAAAATCTTTAACGTGAATTCGAATATATATATGGAAGTTTTATAAAGGAGTGTTGATTTGTGCCTGAATGATTTGGATGTTTTAGAATGTTTTAAATGAAAAGGATGTGTTTTGTAAGAATTTTTCAAAGGAGAAAAAATGTTTTATTATATTGCACATAGTGCATAAAACAAATTTAGAAGACAAAAACATCCTAAGTAGTTTGTATTATTCTAAATTATCAATTCTTGTTGGTACATATATTGATGATGTGAAACCCAAGTTGTTAACTATCAAATTAATTTCATGATCATTTATAAGAAGATCTCTTAATGATATTTTTAAGAATTTTGTGGTCATAGAAGGCTCTTAATGTCAAATTCATTTTATGATCTTTTGTGATTTCAAATTAAAATCAATACTATTCATTTTGTACGGTTTTCAATAAAAATATATATTTTTAAAAAAATATTACATAAATAACTATTTAAGTAAGTACTCAAATCGATACTTCATTTTAAAATCAATTTCAAATTAAACCACAACCAAACAAAGTTGTTTCTACTAGATTATATTAAATATGTGAGAATAATAAAGGCAAGACTCAATTATAGTTAGGTTATTTCTTAACCACAAAGCTTAATTCATTGTCTAATGATAGAAGCACACATCATTATATAAATTGAATATAAGTGAATTAATACGATGGTTCGACTTTTATATATGGGAATTGTGTGTATTGGATGAGCACATGCATAACATTTTTTGTGAGTACTAACATTGTTCGTGCGTACAATTAAGGGTCGACTCCGGACCCCTAGTTTCATGAAACAAAGATGATAATTGAACCCCCTAGAGATTCAAAAACATGTATTGTGCATAATGGGAAAATTAAATCAATTAAGAGTAGCTAGTTTAGTAGAGATAGATGATGGACTAGAAGCTAATTATATGTCCTTGAAGTGGTTATCATCAATGTACAATTCTTGCATACTTAATGAACTTCATTAATCATGTTTAATTGTATTGATAATCATTGTCCTAATTAAGTGAAAACTGAAGGAAACTCATAAAACCCTAAAAGAAAGCATGCACTTTTCTTACAAGGACCATCTATAGAATATAGTACAACTTGTATGTATATATATGTGTATAGTTGTCAAAGAAATGAGCAAGTGTTGTAGGTTATATTAATAGTCCATGAAGATGGTTAGTGAAAGTGAAATTTTTTAGAATGCTTTGAACAATTAGTATTAGACAATAACTATTAATCTTTTTAATCTAGTCGAGATTAGACTCCAATAATGTAACTTTAAAAGTTTGCGACGCAATATTGTATTGAACTATATTTATTACAAATGTAGTTATGATGCTGTTGATTATTATTTAATCAATATTGTGTTGATTAGTTTTAACCAACATAGGATAAAGTAAAGATATTATGTCGTCATAATCGATTTCAACACAATATTATATGTAAATCTAATACAAATACCAACAACACTACTATTATACAATCGAAAGTTTTTTTTTTTTTTAAGTACAAAAAAGATTAAAAAATATAAAAAGTTTGTAGTTCGGGGCAGCGGACCCCCCAAGTTGACGACACATGGTAGTGATTAATGTTGTTATAATTATGTATCATGTGGTGTGATTAGTTCTAATTAGTTTTCTATACATACATTCCTATTTTTGACATGTTGAACGTTGAATGTATGTGATGAACCACATATATATATATATATATAAGAAATCTATGGAGATTAAGATATGATGATCGATGGTTGAACAAGAATGTTGAAATTTTCTTTAGAACACACCGAATATTAGAATTTCTATAATTGTATGTGTAAGGATTGATGAAAGTGAAAGAACATGAGCTATATTGCAGTGGATGGATAGAACTGCCATTGCAGTGGATAGATAGATACATAGATGGAACTGTCATCTCTCTCTCTCTCTCTCTCTCTAGAAAAAAAGAGGACACAAGATCCAAGAAAATTGAAAGCATAGAGAACAGAGAGGCCATTAAACAACATAAAGTTGCAAAAGTCTGGTTTATCATCCTCAGTGAGTTGTCCTTTTCATTAACTTAACAGAATCTCCTAGAGAGAGAGAGAGAGAGAGAGAGAACATAAATTTGAGTAGTGTAAGTAGTTTTGATAGTGGGCTTGTTGATGATGACTGAACTTGGGGCTTGATGATGATGATGAGCCAAGTTCAGTTTGTTTCAGTTTGATTGGTGTGAACTCAGACTGAATATACATACATAGATATATATATATATATAGAGAGAGAGAGAGAGAGAGAATTGAATTGACAATGCTGTCTTTCTCAGTCTTAGTTGGTTCTTCCACAACATGCATCAATCATCATTCCAGTTCATTAGGGTTTTAACCAATTCAAGTATTCGAACAATACAATTCACTCTAATGTGTTTTTCAATGGTTTGGTTTGGTTTTGTTTTCTAACTTTGATGTTTTAGTTTGAATAGTGCTTTGGATGTAATATGTTATGAATTAAAAAACAGGTCGAGTGGTCCCGTAAGAGATGACGCGGTGGTGTAGAGTTGGTCGATATGAACCCCTTTGACCTCAGGTCACATGCCACGCATGGTCTTGGCTGGGTGGAAAGTAGAAATTTATTGGGCTAAATTGATGGAATAAGAGTGTTTAGGAAATAATCAATTTCTTAGTTAATCATCCCATATTTAAAAATAAATAAATAATTAATATGTTTATATACAATTTTTTATATAAATAAGGCAGAAGAGCATTGTGAAATGCCTGAGTTTCTTTCTTTTTACATGTCAATATTAAATTTTAACATTAATTCGAAGATGAATGTAATATTCTTCCGTTCCACTTAATTTGTCTCGTTTGTTCCACATAATTTGTTTTTTTTTTTTTTTCGGAAAATTAATTATACATTTTAATCCTGTTTTAAAATTTAAATTTTTTAATCTTAATTATCTTAATTTTAATCTATAATTATTTTTATTAAATTATAATTATATTTATTAATCCACTTTTTAATTACTTACTATCTACAGTAATACGCTCATATTATCTATGAAGGATGGAGTATTATTTTAAATTTTAAATTTTATAAAAATAGTGACAAAATAATTAAATTTACAAAAAGTAATTGGAGATGTGATCAATTATGCACTAAAAACTATTCCCTCTGTCCCACATAATTTGTTTTTATTTTCTATTTTAGTCTGTCCTATATAATTTGTCCATTTTTTTTAAAAAAATATATAATTATACACTTTAATAACATTTTAAATTTTAATTTTTAGAATTTTTTTAATTTTAATTAAATTATTTAGTTATCTTAATCTTAATTTATAATTATTTTTACTATACAATAATTATTTTTAATAATACACTTTTTAATTACTTACTAATTATATTTTACCTAAATTCTCGTGTATACAGTAATACACCCATATTACACGACTCTCTTCTTCTCATACCAAACTATTCATTTTTCCATTTTAGTCCGTTTAAGTATCTATTTTTTTTTTAAGTAATTGTACAATCTACCTAACATTACAAATACAATTATAATTTACAATATATTACACAAATGTCATTACTTTTGTATCAAACAATACTACTAAGATTAGTTTAGTTATTTTTACTTTATTTATATTACATTAAAAATTCGTAAAATAAAACAAATAAATATATATTTATGAAAGGGAAGGAGTATATAAATAATTTTACACCAGCTAATATGCTCCTACAGAAAAAATGCAATGTTTTTTCCCTTTCAAAATATAAAATTTTAGAGTAGAGACAAAAGTTGATCAAGAGTGTGCAAGACACTACGAAATCCTTCCAACACGGCAACCCTATCCTTATCCCTGGCCGCGTAGTCCACACGCGCCACTCCATTGAACACCTGCGAGTAGAGCTCCCGCAGCCGCTGCCTCTCCGCCGGCGGCTTCCCCTGGATTATGGTGTAGATGTCCTGTTTCAGCAGCGCCGAGCTTTTCCGGAGCTCTTTCTGCGCCTCCTTCCACGACTCCGCCGCCACTAGATCCTCCACCTCCCGCAGCCTCGCCGTGTGCTCCGGAATCGACGATTCGGCTTCCTCCACCGTCTGGTCAGGCACCGTCATTCTCAAATCGAACGCCTCCGACGACGCCGTGTTCAGGAGAATCAACGACGTCGCAGTCAGGATCGCGGAGCTTCTTCTGGTCGCGACGGCGGCGGCGGATGAGCGGTTTCTCGCCGGAGGGGGGAATTGTAGGCGGTAAGGGCTGTGGAGGCAAAACGACGTCGTTGCCATGGTGTTGTGATGGGAGTGTGGGAAATAAGAAGGGCTTTCTATCGTCAGTCTAACACAGACAAAAAAAAATAAAATAAAATACTAATAAAATTACAAAAAAAATACTAATAAAATTAAAAAATAAAAAGTTAATAGTCTTGGACAAGATATTTATTATATCGGTGGTATGGATAAATGATTTTTTTTTTTATATTAGTGTAAAAAGTAACGACAATTGTATAATAATAATGAAAATGTTAGAATAATTTTATATTGATATGCTTATTTATAACAATGAAACTATTATTTTAAGACGGACAAAAACTATAAACAAGACTATTATTTTAAAAGTATATATTTACTTGAAGTATGAATAAATAAATACTAGTTAACCATATAAATTAATGTTATGCTGACTTGAACGAATCAACACTTATCTTTGCCCAAACAATTAACATAGAATTATTTATTTCATAATATTATTGGATTAAATCCATTGTTTAGATATAAATTTTAGATTTTTATATTTTTTTTATATTTCAAATCAAAATCAATATTATTCTCTTTCGGCCGTGTCCAAACTCATCAAAAACCGGGCCATGTATGTTTGGTCAGGATATGCTGTCGGATTGGGTCAGCCGGCCCGATTTGCCACCTCTGTAATCAACAATATATAACATTCCATTGATACAATATAATATAATATATTAAGCAACCATTTGACCTCAACACAACATCCTATAAGTCATTATATATATAGAGTAACAAAATAAAATAAAAAATTCCCCAACCACATTCTCGATTATAATTTATATATGTATATAGAGAGAGAAGCCTCAATAAACAACACAACTCACACGAGTTTATATTACAACTTACATAAACATGGCGACTTCTTCGTTCCTATACTTCTTTCTTCTTCATCTTCTTCTTCTGTAGGACAAAAATGAGTTTTCCTACAAGCCCATACACTCAGATACACACACGCAGACATTCGAGGTCCGAGATTCAGGCATCCTCGACCTCGACAACCTCGGATTGCCGCGGCGGAGTGCTCGAACCGGCAGCTTCCATCACCTTCCGGAAGTATCCCCACGACAGATTTCTTTCCGTGATCGCCTTCTGCCCGAACAGGTTTCGCCTCACATATTCCTGAACATTTTCCGCAGCAGCCAAACCTTCCAAGTAGACGCGCAGATCCCCTCCCGGCCCTGGTTATTACAACAACAACAACATATTGACTCGATCGCTTAAATTTCATAGCGCAGAGGGATGTTCGAAAGAAAATCGACAGGAATTTAAGGAATAGCGAACCTAACGAATTGTCTGCTCTATCTGTGAACTTGTAGCTGTAAGGGAAGACTGCGGTGAACGGCTGAAAACGTTCGAACATGATCATCCCGCCATTCAATAGTTTCTCGAATTAGAAAATTTGTACATATATATATATATATTAAGCTTACGGGATTCAACAGGGCCTTGTAAGGAGTGTCGTCCAACAAGAGTGTGTTCGTTTCGTCGTAAGCTCCTTTCTCCCATGGAAGGTCGGGCTCAGATTTGTCCCACAGCTTCTTCAGCTTCTTTAGAAGAAGAGGTTTGTGCCGTTTCTCGATTGTGTTGAATCCGGTGTTCGTGCAATGCGATTGATCCTGTGAAATAAGAAACACATAATATGTTCTTACATTATCAGACACATTTCACGCGACAATTTCATTCGCGACAAAAGACTTACCCAACAGAAAAGCAGCTTGTCCTTATCACTCCCTAAAAGAAAATCAAGAATCGGATCGTTGTTCCATCTGCGCGATTTCAATCGACACAAAAGGCAAAATTCATAACATGCATCACTTATTTATTAGTAGAATACTTGAATTAGCATAATGAATTGAGATAATAATACGAACTTTTGTCGCGACGTCCAGACACCAACATTAAACTTCTCGAAGCAGAACTTGAGAAAATCGTCACAATACGGCCTCTTATAAACTGAAAAGAAAAATATAAAAATCACATCAAGTTAGCAGCTACAGGCGAAAATTTGCGTAAAGAACATCGATAGTATACCTGCTTTCCGGTGTATTATAACATCCCAATCACAATCGTAAGGTACGTAAGGACAGATATCGACCAATAAGCCATTCATGTCAAGAACAAGAAGCTTCTTCCGCACGTCCACGGCTCGGGCCGGAGTGACATTCTCGCAAGAATCCAACGAGATTCTCGGGAATTCAATTCTATCGATTGCAGCAGACTCGGATTCATTTTTAGCATCACAAATCTCATTTTTCTTTTCGCCGATGACGTCATAATTAGAACACTTTTTCTGATCCAAACACAACACCGCGTATCCAGGAGCCGCACTTTTCTCACTCGGGATCGGAGAATCACACGTCACTGCTGTAAAAACAACCAAACATCCCTCATTTGTTTCCAAATCAGTCGATTGCGGCGCCAGTTTCAGCCTTTTCTTGTTTTGGTTTGTCTCCACACTCCCATCCACGTGGAGAACCTCGTCACCCTCATAAATGCCGTCTCTTTTTCGCGCCAATTCGGCCTCCTTACACGCCGATCTATTTCCAAAACAGTCATCGCCAACGCCACAACTCCCGCCATTACTCCCAATCGAATGCACACCTAGACAACATTAAATTTTCAATCTTCATTACTACATTGATCAAAACAGTAAACACATTTGCAGAAATTTCGGTACCTCCATCCTCCGGCTCTTCGCCATTTCGACGAGTATTCATATCACCATCCATTCGAACAATGCACCTGCCAAGACACTTCAAATCAAGCCCACGAAAATCATAAGAAAAGATCGAAATAACCAGCCAAAACAATGTCGATCGTTCCCTCAAATCTTCTTATCCCGTCGGATAATCCAAAATCTTCTCCAAACCACCACCACCAACACAATAAATGTCAGATCAATCATTTCCAAATTATTACCCAACACCAAACCACAACTCACCCCCAAAAATCCCCAAATCAAGAAATCAAACCTAAAATTATCGAAATAACTGTTCATTACACAAACTAACAAACAAACGAAGAATTACAATCAAGCAATTACACGAACACCTTCATTACAACCTGCCAAGATTATCCACAAACATTTCCAAAAAAAAACCTCCATCAATTTCATCGCAAACAAAACGCACCAATCAACGCGATGAGATAACTGTAAATTGAAAAGCCCAAAACAATCCACACAAGAAATGGCCCCAAAACTAAATCCCAGACCAGAATTGAAGAGCAGACGCCATTAAAGGAGCATCGAAGAGGAACAAATTAAAAAATTAAAATTGAATGAATGGAGATTGTTCTTAGAAACCGAGAGCGCTTACCGAAGCATCGGAGTTCCAAAATCCAGCAGATCTCGAGTCACTCACTACACAACTCGCTTCTAAAGGGTTTAGTCTGGAAATTCTTGGCGGCGCCGTTGTATGGAAACAAGGACAGATTGAAAGCTCCTGGCGCTCAGGCCCTCCTTGAATACCCACAGGCGGCCACGACGGTTGGATCAAATTTCTGAACCTTTCGGAATCAACGGTCGCGATTTGTTTATAGATCTTGCGTCACGCTCCCGGGACCTCATAAAAATGCCGACATCACGATTTTTATCCGTATCTCACCGCCATCCGAATTCAGTACCAAACTACTGCATAGGTAATAACGAGCGATACGTTCGAACTAATAAAATTAAAATTAAATATCCCATTTTTACAAAAAATATATTTATGTTCGAACAAACTAAGCTAATAAAATTGGAGACCTAATTATCAGCCCATATAGAAAAAATAATTAATCAATTTGGGCCGAAACAAATGGGCCCATAAATTTTGAGCCCAAAGGATTTTTTTTTTTGGAAGTAAATTAAAAGGCCATCGTAAAAGTAAATTACCAAAACTGGCCGAAGAATATCTAAATACGAAATAAATAATTACGTTTGAAACTCTAATTATCCAACGGCTCAAATTAGTTTGGAAGACAAATGGGCCGTAATGGGTTGGGCCATTGCTATAATTGCATCTTGGATAGTATATGTGGATTTCTGTCTATTTCTCGTGGATCAAATATAAATAAGTAAAATTCAAAGGTCAAATATTGTTTGAACTACAACAGAATTTTAAACATAAAATTATTAAATACTCGCTCGGTCAGTTAAAAGTAGTGTAATGACATTTTTGTCCTTATTTTTTGGTGTAAAAGTAATGATGTGATGTAAAGTAAGGTATTTGCGGAAAAAAGTAAAGTATTTAATGAAATATTTACTTTATAATTGGACGTTCCAAAATAGAAATATGTATATTTTCTAGCTGGACGGAGGGAGTAATATTTATGAGAAGACCTACCATATTTTATATTGTTAGTAACAATATTTTTTTCTAAAATATTAAAAGTTAAGTAAAGAAGCATATGATTATGGTATACAATTAACCATAAAATCTATCTTTTATAGAAGCTTTGTGATTTAAATCTAATAAATATAACATATTAACAAGTATGTATGAATACCGAAGTGTTTAAAAATATTTTTTTTAAAAGTGTTTTCAAATTTTAAATTGAGTTAAATAATAAAAATTAAATTTAAAATAAATATTTAGTAGAATAAAAGTAAATGTTAAATGCAACAATTTACATAATAAAATAACAAATAAATTTGTCACAACATACTCAAGTATATACATGTATGTATATGTAATTTAGATATTCAGTCCCTTCAAGTAAGTATAATTAGGAAATACATATATATATATATATATATATATGGAACAAACCAACAAGTTAGGTAAATTGTTCATACTAATGTGGTTACGAAAATTTAAGTAAGTATAATTAAAAAATAATTAAAAATATATATTAATAAAAATAATTATTATATAAAAAAAATAATTATAAATAATATTAATATAATTAAATAATTTTATTAATATTAAAAAATTATAAATTATAAAATTTAAAATATTATTAAAATGTATAAAAAAAAAACATTTATATAAAACAAAATGAGTAATTATTTTCAAATACATTACAAAACTGCCAAAGGGAGTACATTTGTGCGAACACAAAAAGTATTCGGTCCCAAACATATTATAATAGTTCATCTATCCCACAAAAATGGTTTTATATTCTATTTTTGACCGTTCTAAAATAAAGGTACTATTTTCAAAAATAGTAATTAAAAGTGCTTACTTAATACTTCTTTATTTATCTATTCGTTTACTTTTTACACAAAATTTTAGGAATATTAAAATTATACTGGGATGTGATATGAATAAAGTAGAAAAATATTAAAATAATCTTATTAGTATCGTGTGATATAAATGTATGATATTTGTGTAATATATTTTAAGTTGTAAAGATATTTATAATGTCAGTAGAAAATACAATTACTAAAAAAAAAAATACTCCCTCTGTACCTGAAGAAGTGTCTTATTGGGAGTTGGCACGAGAATTAAGGAATAATAGTATTTAATTAAAAGTTGGTATAAAATAGAATATAAAAGACTAAAATGTCCTTACTTTTTGAAGGATTTTAAAAAGTAGGTTAGAATAATAATTAATGGTAATTTGGAAAAATATGAATAATTTTGTTATAAAATGGAGACCACGGTTACTAAATAAAAAACAAAACAATTGTTTTGGAACGGACAAAAATAAAAAAACAAGACAACTCTGGGATTAAAGGAGTAGATATTTTGTTATGTGCCAAATCAAAATTTAAAAAAAAATGAATAGATGGTTAAATAACATTAATAAGCTTACGAATATTATAATATATTTAAAAAATGTGATTACTGTTTTCTACTATAATATTTTTAAAATATAAAATAATTAACAATACTTTATTCCATCGCTAACGGTCAAATAAATAAATAAAATACACATTTTTTAATCAAATTATCTAATTTTTAAATTATTATAATTAATATTATCCACCTAGATTTTGTACAGTAAAAATGTAAGATGTACTTTTTAAATTAAAACTCAAATCCGAAACTCATTTTTCAAACTCAAACCAAACATTTTTATGTACTATTTCTTTTTATAGTAACTGTACTATTTACGTAACATTATAAATACCCTTACAATTTACGATATATTACACAAATGTCATTACATTTATATCACATACTAATAAGATTATTTTAATCGTTTTTATTTTATTCCTATTACATTCTAATATAATACTAATATCTGTAAAATTAGCGTAAAAAAATAAATGGATATATAGTTATAGCAGTGAGAGAATATTTCTCTTTGATAATGGTGGAAGGTAGGTAGGTAGGTATTCATGCTACTCAAATGTAAAGACACACAAACTATGCAGCACAGCACTGTACCAATTTCCAGATTGAGATAGTTGCAATGCAGATACTACTTCCATCCGCCATTAACAATTTCCTCACTCAACCCTCACCTCTCTCTCTCTCTCTCTCACACACACACACACAGAGAAGATGCAAGCACAGACCCCATGTGAAGCATTGTACTGACTACTCCATTAATTCTACAGCTGCATTTTGGCGTTCAAAGCAAGCAAACGCCACAACTGAACCGAAAGACAATTCTCTAAACATGTCGTACAATATTTGCAGCCCTATCCACCAACATAATCGCCATGCTTTTGCAGAATTTTTACCCTACTTTCTATAACCGACATAGTGCAGACTGCAGACTAGAGACTGAATACAGTATACTGATTTAATGCATATCCATAAGCTTAAAATCGAGGACAGAAGAAAACTAGTAGAATATCATTTGACTATTGCATAATATCCAGAAATTCACAACACTCTGAGAAATTAAATTTAAATAGCTGATGAAATCGTAATAGAAATATGTTAGATCGATCGTACCTGTGAGGATAGGCCTTTGCTTCCCCGAGCTTTACAGAAGCACCTCTGGCTGGAGAAAACCCCAATTCGCCGGAAACTCACCTTTGGAGGATCGAAGAAAGGCTCCGAAGAGACGGAATTCGTGCTGAAACCTGAGACATTGTTTCTAAGAACTCTGGAGAGCATCTTGAGGCAGAATTTCTCTGTAATATTTCCGATTAGAAATTGCCGGAGTTGGAGACGCCTTCCGATGATCGGAACTCAGAACGATCATTTATATGAAAAGGATTGGCCAGAAATTGGGCCTTTGGGCCATTAAAATTTTGAGGATATTTATTGGGCCTTTGAACTAAACTAACGGCCCATCATAAAAAGAAATCTCTTATCTAATAATTATAACAAAGGTTTTCTTGCATTGATAATTATTTTTATTTTTTTTACTGTTCAATTATTGAAAATATATCATTTTATTTAATAAAAATTCAAATATATATATATATATATATATCATTTTAGGGCAGTCTACTTATATTTTCAATACTTTGATGAATTTTATTTTGTAAAAAACTATATATAATATTGAAAATTTATTATTCGTGCATTTTTCAAAAAAAATATATTTTTTTCTCTCACAAAACATCACATCATGCATTATTTTAATATCAATTTCAAGCCAAATTTATATATATATATATAACTTTTAGAATTGGATATTTTGATTAGAAGATCTTTTTTTTAGAAAAAATGTGAGTCTTTTTGTTTGGTAATCTTTTTTAAATTTATGTACCATACAATAGATTCTTTATAAAAAAAATATATATATATATATATACACTATTTTATTATACAAAAATTACATCCAATCCACTATTTAAATTAAAACCCTTTTTTTTAAAAAAAAAAAAAAAAGAACATAAAAAACCCACTTATAAATAAATTATATCATTTGATACTTAACTTTAAAAATAATAATGATGAATTAGTGGCTAAAAATGCATTAAAATCTGATTCCAAATTAAGATTTGATACTCCACAATAATGTATTCTCAATGGTGTCTACATAATCAACAATGTATACTTGACACTCAATCACAAAATATAAATAAAATTAACAATAATAATAATAATAATAATAATAATAATAATATATTATTTGATCCACATTTAATAATATTTGAGCTACAATGAATAATTTTTCATACTCTTTCACATTTATTTATGTAATTTAGATTTCAAAATTTACAAACCTAAAAGGTACTTTAGTTTAATTATTAATAATAGTTGATGAGATAGGTGTGTTTATTTGTAGACCCAATATTTTAATAAAGAAATACTTATGTTAACAAAAATTAATACTTTTATTATAAAATTGTACAATGCATTAAAAAAAATAAAATAAAATAAATTGCACCCTAATTTTTTTTAAAAATACTCCCTCCGTCACATATACTATGTCCACGTTGCCGTTTCTATCCGTCCCACATACCATGTCACTTTAAATGATTACACACTTTAATCTCATTTTAAATTTTTTTTTTTTATTTTTTTTTAATTTTAATTAAACTAATTAGTTATTTTAATCTTAATTTATAATTATTTATATTATAAGATAATTATTTTCACTAATACATTCTTAATTATCTACTAATTACACTCCTCCTAAAATACCGTGTCTACTAACAGACACGGTATCTGAGACGGAGGGAGTAACATCTTCTTACTATTTTTCAAAAAATTTACCATATTAATATATAATTATAAGTAAATCTTTTTTAAAAATAATAATAATAATAATAATAATAATAATAATAATAAGATAAGTCTTCTAACCAATCATGCATCTATATTCTATTTGAAAGTTTTTTTTGTATTTTTTACCATGTGATTCTTACATTTTTTGATACAAATATATAATTGTCTCTTCAAAATATTTAATCAAACGACTACTTAATTTAAACACAAATCAAACACACCCTAAATAATTTTATTGTCACTTCTATACACACATATATAATTTATTTTTCTTATATTTCGAGATTTGCTCGTATTATTTTATTTTTCATATCTTTTTTCCGAATATATTTTCTATCTTTATCCCTATTCATATTTTTATAGTTATCGTCTTCCTCTTTCTTTTTTCTTCTTCTTTTTTCATTATTCGTTTCAATATATATTTCTGTATATCCTTATAATTATCATAACAATTGTATATACTAAGATTAGATATTGTGGCTTTGGCCTCATTCGTAGGACGTCATTATATATAATTCGCCTAACAAATTCAAGCTATCGCAATACATTGTTTCGATACTAAACTTTTATCGAATCTTTATTTAATTTTCATACGTCCCGTTTCGAACAAAATTCTAAAATTAACAAGTATCGGCGTGAAACCTCCCTGACATGCATGTTCCATCTTGCATCAACCTCGTCCATATGTTATACGGATAATCAGGTCGGAAAATTAATTGAAATTTAAACAAGAATAAGTATTAGAATAAGAAAAAGTATGTATATATGTATACGTATAGTTTCCTAAAGTTAGATAATGATAACAAAATTTTTCGACTTTATATCGCACAAATTTCATGTTTTAATGAGAAGTCTTTATCGCGAAAAAAGAAAAAATTAATAATAAAATGGAACAAGATACTAAATTAAAATCAACATCATAGTCCCTATCCACGCCTATGCTTTTTGCACAATATGATGAATGCACTCATCATGCCTTATTCTCTTCAATTTATATATTTATTTATTTATTTATTTATTTCAATATATATAAATATATATATATATATATTATTTAAATATCAAATCATAGTTGCTAACTTTGTCACGAAGCTTGACATTGTTTAATCCAACTTACCAAAGTGCATTCATTTGTACTTTGAATGTTTTATGAAATTTGATGTAACGTTTTGATTTAAAATTAAGTATTGGATGCGATGTTTAAATGATTAGTTTGTTTAGTTATATGTCTATATTTTTATACAATTTAGGCATGCTATTTAATAATAATAATAATAATAATAATAATAATAATAATAATAAGGCTAAACTATTTTTTTCTAATCCCGTAACTGGACCCTTATCATTTTAGTCCCGTAAATGGAGTCTGTCGCAAACTAATTTCATAATTAGAAAATTTTCGTTGTTTTAGTCCTCCGGCACCGGAGACGCCCGCGTGACTCACCGGAAGCCACGTGTTAATTAGGTATCTTGCCAGGTCAGTGACACCCGACGGACGCGTGAATTTTATTTTTTATTTTATTTTTTTAATTTTTTTTAATTGGACCAAATAAACAATTAAAAAAACAAATAAAATTAAAAATAAAATCCACGTGGCCTCCGGAGAGCCACACGGGCGTCTCCGGCGCCAGAGAACTAAAACAGTGAAAAATTTTCACTTATGAGACTAATTTGCGAGAAACTCCACTTACCAGACTAAAATGATAAGTTGATTCAGTTACAGGACTTAAAAAAAACAGTTTACCCTAATAATAATAATTTAATTTGATGTTTTTATTTAAGGGGAGACATATGTATGTTTTTTAATTAAATAGGAAAAAAAAGATTTAAATATATATACTGTTTTTTTATTGAAACAAAATTTGTATAAGATGTTTTTGAATGAAAAATATATTTTTTAAAAAAATAATTAATAGTATTTTTTAATGAAAAAAAAAATTAAAATTACAAAATAAGGTATGAGTAATGTTAATAGGCTAATCATTAGAGCCGCCTACTCCATAATCACAGATCCTATTGTAAACCTGAGCGCACTATGGGAGCTCCATGGACCTGAACACCAGATGGATTTAATATTTAAACTGGTATTTAGATATGTTTTAAAGCTTATTTATAATTTTGTAATAACAAAAAGTTGGATAAAAATAACTGTTTGATTTTTGTGAATAATTTTTAGATATGATATTTTGTATCGAAAAATAAATTATATTTTGGTTTTTTAAAAAAAAATTTTAATTTTGACTTGAATAATATTTTGAACCCATTATATTTGGTAAGAAATTGATAAAAAAAAAAAAAATAAAGAAAAATCCAAGTGAATTGAGCCAGATTTTATTATTATTTTTTTCTTTTTTTAATTTTCAGTCATATAAATCGTAATTAATTGTTGTGATGGGGTCAATTCAACACAAGTGAAGTTTAATTGGGACTTATAAGATGTGTAATTTTTTTCACCACTTCCAATGTGGGACTTGGGTTTGCACCCCAACATTAATCATTGTAAAATTTGAACTAATTCGATTGAGTATCCAAATAACTTTCATTTAAATATAAATAATATATTCATATATAAATATATTATTTATATATTCATGTAAAAAGTATGGGATCAGATTCAAGTAAAAAAATTGTATAATCCAAAATTTTCGAATAGTCGATCCGAAGAATCACATGACAAAATTATTATAAATACGAACAATGTATAAATATTTTTTTTATAATAATAATAATTATTATTATTATATATTATGGCGTGTCATATATTCCCATAATTTTTTAAAAGGGTATTTTCTTGATTCTGATTCTCATAAGAGAAGTTTGATTTGGAGATTATATAAATATATATAATATTTTGTCAACTTTATTGATCTATTTGAGCCTAATTAAATAATTATGATTTTGTTAGTTTATTTTAAGTTGGATTATTTAATTATTGGATATGCAAACTTTATGGTACTTTCGAAGATTTTGGTAAAAAATAAAAAAAAATAAAAATTAATTTGCAATAATATTACAAAATTTAAAGTGGTTAAACGTTTTCTTTCATTATTAGTTGTCATTCGGTACCAATTCTTTTGGACTATGTTCTTATCGCTCTGTACAGTTTTATCGTACCCAATAAAAATATACTGATTTTTTATACAAAAATATTTGTATTATTTTATGTAAAATAACAAAAATCTTGTAAATAATATATATATTTAAAAAAAAAAAAAACATACCCAAGTATAAAAAGAGCATATAGTGAATTGAATTCGAAGTAAAATAAAATCTAAAAGTATTTGAAAAGTTATTGAGCTCGATAAAGTTGAATCGAAAATTTTCAATAATATGATAAATTGATACTTTATACTCTAAGGGCCACGTTTACCTTTTGCGTCATTATACTTAATATTAAAAATATTATTTATATTTGTATAATTTTTTTGTACAAA